AAAGGACAGCCACAGTGACCGACAGAGCGCTGAGCACTTGGGGGAAGATGCCTTCCCGGGGTGGGCCCGGGGACGTGACTGCTGTCCCGGCCAGGCCCAGCAGGTGTCCGCCGCCCTTGCCTTGGCCCTCCGGGGCGTCCACTACCCTTCTTCTGTCCCCTCACAGCCCTGGCAGCGGCCTCTGCTCTCGGGCCCTGGCGGCCTTTCTCCCTCCTGGGCGTGATTTCGCCCAGACCCCTCTGCGTCTCTGCAGAGCGTGCTCCGGGCCTGTGGTCACGCCTGACGGTGTCCATGTGTGGCCCAGGGCTCCTCTGTGTTTCCTCTGGGCACCGGGGCTGCTGTGGACTGTGCCTGGAGGGACCTGGGCCCTGCTTTCCTTTCCTCGGATAAAACCCAGGAAGGAACTGTTGGCTGGCTTGTCTCCTGGACCCTCGCCGACACCCCAGCTGTGGCCCTAGTGATGGCCGGTCTCCCGGGGCGAGGTGGTGTCAGGATTGCCCCCGATGTCCCGCTGTCGAGAGAAGGTGCAGGTGGGTGGCCCTTAACTAAGGCTGGCGAGGCGTGAGAAGCCTCACTTTGGTCTGTTGAAGCCGGTCAGCAGTGGACACTTTTTTCTTTCTTGTTGATCCTTAGAGCATCTTCAAGCACCGTTAGTAACTTGGGGAGCAAGACTCAGACATGTGCAAATACTCTACTAACACTATATGAAAACAGTAAAATTTTCTTCTTTTTTTTTAAAGATTTATTTATTTATGCATACAAGATTATTTATTTATGCATACAAGATATAAGAGCTGGGGTGCAGGCCAGAGGTGTTGGGGGTGAGAGGACTCACCAGAGACAGAGTGGGGAGCAGAACAGGTGGATCCACTGAAATCCACTGCTGAGGGGAGCAGCGGTAGACTCAGAAGAGGTCTGCTGCGCCATGTGGGTAGCTCCCTGGCCGGGGATCGAACTCGTGCTGCAGAAGCTGTGGACAGCTTCATAGTGCTGAGACTTAACCCCTTGTGCCACCAGGGGGGCCCAACAGTAAAATTTTCTAAGCTGAAAGAATCTCCTTATATGTGTAAATATCTGTGCAAGGATTTATTAACAACATACCGCTTTGTGTTCTCAACTCGGGGCGATTCGGCATTATCTGGAAACATTTTTATTGTCTGTGGCAGGGACAGGGAGGGGTGTGGCTTAGCCCCCTCTGCAGGCAGCCCCCAGATGGACCCGTCAGGAGTCAGAGCTCCCCGAGGAACTTGTTTGGGCCTGGGAACAGGCAGCATCTCAGCCCGGGCCCGTACCCTCCTAGGGTGATCAGGTTGGGGACATCAGGCTGCGGCCACCATTGTGGGGTGCGTGTGCCAGGTGAGGTGTGACGTTATCTCGTGGCTTTGAAGATGCTGGACCCCAAGTGGGTGTCCCGCTGTGGAAGTTCACAGGGCAGAACAGGCAGATGGGCCTCCCGAGACCTCTCCCGTCCCCACCTTTGCTTGTTCGAGCTCCTGGTTTCCAGGACCATGGGGAGGCGGCCTCGGGGCACCTTTCCTGCATGATTCCAAACAGACTTTCCAGGGTGCCCAGCACACCTCGCCGTGAAGCCCCTCTGAATACACTGACGTCAGCATTGACTGTTCACATTTAAAACCTAAATGAAAAAGTAAATAAAACCCAAATCCAAAGATAAGATGACAGACAGATGGACAGCTAGGGTTTGTGAGTGGTTGTGACCTCCCAGCTGGTGCTACGGAGCCCCACGAGGTCCAGTCTGCTCCGTCGAGGGTCCCGGGCCCACTCTGGAGGAGAAGGGCTCAGTGGGGGCTTCTCTGGGGTGGGGGGAGATTGCCTGGGCATAGAAACAGGGAGGGGTGGGGCCGTGGGCACCCAGGCGGTACTCCAGGGCGGCCGGGCCGTGCTGCAGCAGGGTGGAGGGGCTGCTTCCTGTGGTGACCGGAAGAACAGGTCACCCTGACATCACCGTGACAATGGGCCCCCACCTGCCTTCTGTCACCCCAGGTTGTCACCTGTGGGCCTGCGAGGAGTGACATGGGGTGGGGAGCTGACCCCACACTGTCCCCACGCTGTGCCAGGCCAGTGAAGGGCTCGCTCCTAGCTGCAAGGACAAGTCCAGAGACTCAGCCCCTGTCCACTGGTGCCCAGTCCTGGTTCCTTCAGAGAGCAGAGTGAGGGGCCCAAGGGGAGGCCCTGGAGGAGCAGGGAACTGGAGGGCGCTGGCCTGGTGGGGCGCAAGGAAAGCTTCCTCCCCAGCATCCCACAGCCCCTGGACTCAGGGCACATAGGACCCTCCGCCCGGGTCTGCGTCCCCTTGGGCCCCTGGGGGAAGTGAGAGCACCCCCAGAAAAGCCAAGATCCTGATGCGTGGTGGTCAGGACCCTGGGCAAAAAAAGACAGTAGAATTCAGTGCCTCCCTGGGGGCGCAGGGGTTAAGTCTCAGCACTACTATGGGCAGCCGCTGCAGCACGAGTTAGATCCCCAGCTAGGGAGCAACCCACATGGCGCAGCAGACCTCTCCTGACTCCCCACTGCTCCCCTCAGCAGTGTGTTTCAGTAGATCTACCTGTTCTGCTCCCCACTCTGTCTCTGGTGAGTCCTCTCACCCTCACACCTGTGGCCTGCACCCCAGCTCTTGTATGCATACATAAATTTTTTGAAGATTTATTTATTTATGCACACAAGAGCTGGGGTACAGCCCAGAGGTGCAGGGGGTGAGAGGATTCACCAGAGACAGAGTGGGGACCAGAATAGGCAGACTGACCAAAATCCACTGCTGAGGGGAGCAGCGGGGAGACAGGAGAGGTCTGCTGCGCCATGTGGGTAGCTCTCTGACTGCCCGGGGATGGAACTCGAGCTGCAGAGGCTGCAGACAGCTTCATAGTGCTGAGACTTAACCCCTGCACCACCGGGGAGGCCCTGGAAATGCAGTCATTGGCGGAGTGGGGTGGCTTTGCGTCATGGTGAAGTTTTATTCACACTGATGTTGCTTCATCAACATGGACTCATAAAAGGCACGGTATGTCAGCTACTCTTGTTAGGAGAATAAACACCCCACCTCACCCTCCTTTCCAGACAGGCGTCTCCCCGCCCACCCCTGCTCACCCGGCAAGACTGAGTCTAAATTCTTTAAAACACGTGCCGAGAACAGACAAAGGAGCCTCTTTCTGGCGAGGCAGCCCTGAAATAATTGCTAAAGTCCTGAAACGCACACCCACGCCACGGGCAAACGCCACATTCATCAGCCACATTCTGAGGTTGGGGGCCAGGAGGCGAGGCAGAGTCTGGAGAGCTGTTTCGGGGGGCCGGGAGCTCTTGCCACAGTGCTGCTGGTCACCACGTGATTGTCACGAGACGTGGAGTAAAGAGCAGAGTCTTTTCTCCCAAAATGCCGGCTTTTAGGAATGTTTGCAAAGAGGAAAGCCTTCACTTGTGGACCTTGTCCGGTCACTGCCTCCTTTCACATCTGTGACTCAGTTTCCTCTTTGCCCAAGTCGACAGCCCCAGTGTCACGCCAGGCCTGACGTCAGGGTCTCGGCAGAGTCCGGGCGTGGCCGCGTCCCTCTACAGGGTCTGGTGGGTCCCGACCCCGTCCCGCCTGCACAGGCCGCCCACAGTCACGTCCATCTCCCTGGCTGCAGTCAGGTGAGGCCTCGGGTCTCACCTGTGACCTGCCTCCTGCTCCCTCTGCTGTGAGGCCCTGACCCGGGGATTCAGGGGCGTCCTCTGCTGTGGGCGGTTGGCTGCAGGCCACAGGGGTCGGGGTGCAGAGACCCCATGTTGAAGGTCTAAGAGAGGCCCGTCGGCATGGCGCCTCCATCGTGGAAGCTCCGGAGCAAGTGTCGCCCGCGTCCTGTCGACTCCCACAAGCTCCCGCTCCTGTAATGGCATCTGGGGCTCTCCCGGTGTGAGGTGGGGGCCCCATCTCTGACCCGTCCAGCCCATCCAGCGGAGGGGGTCTGTGCTCGCTGTCGGTGGGGGGCCGTTTGGGGGCCGTCTGCAGACTGTGTTGCCCCCGGGGGCACTGGTATCCAGCCCGTGGTGACCACCCAGGACACTCCTCAAAGAGCGCCGTGGGCCCGAAGCGTCCACAGCGCCAGGGTGGAGCAGCGGGCTTCTGTCCATCGGTCTTTGAGCTTCCAGGGCGAGCTGGACGGCACGAAACCCCGGGGCCAGCATGCAGCACGCTCTTCCCGCTAGAAACGGCGCTGGTCCCCGCAGGGGGAGGGCCTGCTCCCCTCTGTCCCCGTGGCCTTGTGGTGCGTGGTGACAGGACAGCCTGGGGGGGGGATCCACTCTGGCTGGGTCCTCTCGGCGCCCTCCCCCCGGACACGGAGTCGCTGGCCCGGCAGCTCTCACTGCGCGTGAACCGCCCTGGAGAGCGGCCATGCTCAGCCCTGAGGCCGAAAGCAAGTGTGCGCAGAGGCGCCGGGGCCTCGTCCTTGCCCTGCAGCCAGCCCTGGCACAAGCCCAGATGGGGGAGATGTGAGAGGGGGGGAGCTGTAAGCTCGGGCCCCGGGGCCTCCCACCCCCAGCCCGGGACAGGTTGGCTGGAGACCACACTGGGAAGGGAAGGGGGTGCCGGCGGTTCCCGGGGAGCCCTGCCCGTTGCTCTGCCGTCCTGCTGAAGCAGCCCTGCACCCACTCTGTGCCCCGTGTGCGCCCTGGCGCCCCCCGGCCGGGCAGAGGCCCCCACAGAGTCCCTGGTCCTGGGACGCGGCTCCTGGGCCCCCGGGTCCCTCCCACCGGCGCTGGTCTCTGGGCTTTGGCTCACGAGCGGCCAGACCCGCGCTCTGGCGACCGCAGCCCCCTTCCTGGCGCATCGTGGACTCGCGCGGGGTCGTCCCTGCGCCCGACTTCGCAGCGGGCCCCCCAGCAGCGCCCGGCCCCCCGCAGCCCCCCCCCCCCCCCCCCCCCCGGTCTCCGCAGACCCAGTGCTGGCAGGCACACGCCGGAAGCCCCGCTCTGCCCTTCTGACCTCTGCTGCTCCCCGCCCGCAGGTGTCCCCGGAGCCATGCCCAACGCGTCCTGGGCCGGCAACCTCAGAGCCGTCAAGTGGAATGACATGGAGGACCAGCACGGGGGCTGCCACGGTGAGGCTCCGGCCGCGGTTGGGGGGGCTGTGGGGTGCCGGCAGGGGTGCGGGGGGCTGCCACAGTGAGGCTCCAGCTGCCGTGGAGGCTGCAGGGGGGCTCACCGGTGGCCTGCAACAGGGGGCTCTGGGGTGCTGGGAGGGGTGCGGGGGGGTTCACGGGTGGCCCGTTGCAAGGGATGCTGGGGAGGGGGCTCGGGGGCTCTCGTGGATGCAACTGCTGGGCTGTTAAACCCCCGAAGGCAGGGCCTTCCAGACAAGGTCCTTGGGAAGTAAAGGTGAGCGCCTCACTCTCCGGCCACGCACAGGGAGACGCTCGTTCAAACCTTCCCCTGAAGCGGGCGCAAGGTGTGGTCGACACGCGTGTGAGGGGCATGCAGACACGCCTACCTGTGTGCCTTCCTGCTGCCTCTGCTCTCCCGCTGCTGACTCCTCTCTCTGGTCCTGGGGGCTGGCCTGGGGGTCAGCCTGTACGTGGTTTTCTCCCCTTGGGCAAGCTGGACCGCCCAGTCAGCCTGGCTCCCTCCAGGCTCGGGCTGTTTCCCAAACAACACCCCAAGTCACCTGACGGACCCTAACGTAGCCGTCCCCCACGTGCGAGGACTGGGGATGCCACATGGTTCCTGCTCCTGCAGAGCCCGTGAGGGGCTGTCCTTTAGCTCCCGGATGTGCCCTGGGGTGGGCCTGGTGAGGTGGGCGTGGGTGCGACTGGAGTCAGGATGGGGCGCAGCCAACAGAGGCCACGTCCTGCTGTTCTGGAGCCCGAGTCCCAGATCAAGGTGTGGTGGGGGTCCCCGAGGCCACCCTCCTGGGCGTGCAGAACGGGCTCCTCCTGGGGCCGGCAGCCCCTCTGCGCCTGTGCCATCTCTCCACGTGAGGACAGAGCTGGCATGTGAGTGGGTTGCACTTGCTCAGCCTGGAAAGCCCCTTTCTGAGGTCCTGGGCTCGGCCCTCAGATGGAACTTGCTCTTACCACCCACCTCTGGGGTCTCCCGGGAAGACGTGCCCACCGGGCTGTGGCTCTGTCGCATTCTCTGGGCCCTGCACAGCCCTGTCGCCTCCCCCTGGGGGCCCCGGTCACTAATCTGCTGCTCGGCCGCCTTGCCAACATGGCGCTTGGGCCTTGTGGCATCCTGGCCTGCATCCCCAGCCCTGTCCCACCAACCGCAGCTCCCGAGTCCTGGCCTGCAGTCCCCTCCCGTCATCTGTGGCCAGGCCCACCTGGCAGAGGTGGTTCAGGCCATGGCGTCGGGGCTGCGTGCCAGCCAGGAACCCGCACCCCAGTCTCTCATTTTCTTCTTGGGCGCCGATAAACGTCCGTCCGAGCTTCAAAAGCGTTTGTCCCGTAAAATAAAGAGAAGGCGTGAGGTGGCCCGGAGGAGGCGGGCGTGCGGGCTGGGCCAGCAGGTCAGGAGGACACTTAGAGCCAGGAGCTCCTGCCGCTGGTCACAGCGGCCGCTCACCTCTGCTCCCCCTGCGGGCGGCGTCTTCCCTGTCCCCCTCAGAGGAGCCCCAGAGGACGGGTGTGACCGGGTGTCAGTGCTGTGTCCCTGCACCCGACGTGCTGCTGCTATTTTCTGTGTTTCCTCTTGCAAGTGGGCGTTTCCTGAAGTCCGGCTTTCTGGCTTTCTCTCGCGCCTCCCTCCTCCGCGCTCCCTCCCCCTGCTCCCCCTGCTCCTGCTCACTCCTGCTCACTCCTTCTAGGACCCTCAAGAGAGGACCCTGGGGTCTGCTGTTCTCACTACCATTTTGGGTCATCTGGCCATACAAAATGAGGGTTTGCCCCCCAAAAGTGCAAAGGAGAAGACCTGGACACTAGCCCAGAGGAGGGGGCACCCTGGTGCCTGTGCTCAATCACCACCACCCCCGACTTCCCCCGTCTGTATTCCCCTTGGCCAAACGCCACTGGGGAATGTTCCAGAACTTGCCTGCATGCTCTCACTCTCGTTCTTCTCCTGGTGCCCGTCCGGGGGTCTCCCCTCCCGCCACCCCGGTGTCGGAAGCTGAAACACCCCATCCACGCCCTGTCCCCCCAGCCACTCCCTCCCTTGGGGTTTGCGATGCGTGGCCCCCTCTTGGGCAGGGCCTCCGTGCCCTCCCGCAGACAAGGCTCCAGGACCGCGCGGCTGCCACCTGGTTCCAGTGCCCGGCTGAGCCCTCCATGCTCACCTGGCCGGCTTCAACGTCAGCGCGAGTCTTGCCCTCAAGGCCGACCAGGACTCCATGGCCATGGGATCCGGCCCACCTCAGCCTGTGCCCGCGACGCTGCTCCACCGCCCACCCCCTTGCTGCTCCACCCGCCCTCCCCCTCCACCCCTTTCCCATCCCCCACGCGGCTGACCCCCACGGGGGCACCTGGGCCAGAGGTGTCGCCTGCCCGGCCCTCTGGTCAGCCCAGTGGGGAAGGTGCAGACCCTGCCCTCCCTCCCCAGCGGCGTCCTGTCACCTGTGAGATGTGCCAAAGCAGCTAAGTCGGGGTGATCTGGGAGCAGGATGTGGGGCTGGAGGGAACCCAGAGATATTCCAGGGGGGGTGACCAGTGTGCCAGCGGGGAAAGCAGGGCTTCAGGGTGAGGCGGAGGGTGGTCAGGAGAGAGCCAGCGGGTTTTGGGGTGGCTTCGTGAGTCGAGCGCGTGTCCAGGCTGCGTTCTGGGGAGCCCGGGGTGCGTGGCCACAGCCTGGCTCCCCTCCAGAGAATCCTTTAGAGGGCGCGGCCGAGGGCACAGGGGACCCCTGGCTGTGGCAGGGCTGGGGCCTTCGGACCGGACGCCCTCGTCCAGGGTGCAGACAGGGCGGCTTGGCCAGGCTGGCTGCGCGGGAGGTTAAGAAGAGGCCAAATCCTTCCATGCAGAGGCTGCGCTGTGGGGACAGGGGTGCGGCTGCGGGGACAGGGTCGTGTACTATGGGGGCGCAGACTCACCCCAAAGAGGACCTCCCCGAAGGTGCCCCCCCGGGGAGCTCTCCTCCTCTGGGGGTGTCAGACGAGGCTGGGCTCGCGCCGCCAGGGTGCTCTGGGAGGGCTTCGCACGGACGGCGGGGCTGGCCCGTGCAGGCTGCCGTCCCGGGGCCTCCGACGACCGGACACTCATTCCCCGAGCCCCGCTTGCGCCCGGCCTGTCCGCGCCAGGGCTCGCTCCTCCTCGGCTGCTCCGCGGTCAGCGGGGAGCACAGCTGCGGGCCGCGAGCCCGGCGGGCCAGGGAGCCGGTCTGACCGTGCCGTCCCCCGCTGCAGGCCACTACGTCCACGGCATCTGCATCTACGGGAACGGAGACTTGAAGTGGCTGATGGACTCCGAGAGCCTCTTTGCTAACAAGTTCGAGCTGTCCACCTACCCGCTGACGGTGGAGTGCCTGGAGCTGCGGCTGCGCGAGCGCGCCCTCAACCAGAGCGAGGTGGCCGTGCAGCCCAGCTGGCGCTTCTGAGCTCCGCGACGGCCCCGCGTCCAGCGGCCCCCGGCGCCCTCTGCAGAGTGAGGAGGCGTCGTGGAATGGCCGCACCCGCTGGCGGTGTCTCGTGCGGGGTCTTCGGGGCTGTGGCTGTGGGGGCCGTGTCCGGGACCCCAGCCCAGCTCTCCCCTCCTGCACTGAGCACCTTGGGAACCGTGTGGAAGCTGGAGGGCACCCTAGGTTGTCCCTGGGGGGACACACTCCAGAGCGGGTGCAGATGGCAACACTGAGGACGGCACCCCGGGCCACGTGCAGCATTCCCCGAGGCCAGGGCCGTGGCGGGAGCGCCAGCACATCCCGCCGCTCCTCCCGGGCTGATCCCAGCCTCACACCCCCCGGGGCTCACGCAGGCACCCCCATTTACAGACAAGGCAGGAGGCTGGAGGGTCGTGTGTATCAGGGGCCAGTTCTCCCTCTGGAACTGGGGTCCTGCTGGTCTCAGTTCACTTGCGGAGGCGGGATCTTAGCGTGAAAGCTGCAGCCGCATCTGATGCCTCGGGGAGGGCGGCCCGGGGGGGCAGCCGGGGACCCTCCGTGTGACCCAACATGAAGCCCCTAGTGACCCTCTAATCCGCTGACTCCCTTAGTATTTATTTATTCAGGTGAGGACCGCTGCTCCAACTCGTGACACCTTTCAATAGCACAATTCTATTTTATTTTTGTGTAATTGTGCCGTTCATCCTATTCCAAGGGAATTGATGTCAAACCCGTTTCCCTGATGTTGCAAAGGGCAGAGGCTGGAGGGGTGAGACACACCCCCTGAGCTTCGGCAGGTCTGACAACTGTTTTTCCAGAGGCCCCTCCCCGCAGAGGGGTGTTTCAGGCCTGCTCTTCCTCGGGTGGGATGAAGACTCCTCCGGGCCAGGGATGTTTACACGCCGCTGCCTGCCCGCCTCGTCTGCAACGCTCTAACTCGGAGGCGCCCTGCGGGGTCGGGGGAGCGGGAGGCACTGAAACTACTGACTCTGTGCTCTGTGCGCTCTGCTGTTCCGCAGTGGGTTTGTTTTTTCTCGGAAATAAATTAATATATTGTTTTCCACCTTGGAGCGATTGTGTGTTTTCAGTTGATGGTTGATCAGCACCCGCTGCAGGGCACGTGGCGCGAGGTGACTCTCCTAGCATTTGAAAAATGCTCCGGGGCCTCCCTGGTGGCGCAAGGGGCTAAGACACAGCACTGTGAAGCTATCGCCAGCCACTGCACATTGCGTTCGATCCCCGGCCAGGGAGGTGACCCACAGCAGCAGACCTCTCCTGTCTCCCCGCTGCTCCCCTCGGCAGTGGATTACAGTCCATCTGCCTGTTCTGCTCCCCACTCGTCTCTGTTGAATCCTCTGACCCCCCACACCTCTGGCCTGCACCCCAGCTCTTGCATGCATAAATAAATACATCTTTAAAAAATAAAATAAAATAAAAAATACTAGGAGCTGCCTGAGTGAGAGAAAGGAGGGGCTCCAAGGCGAATCCAGGGCCCCTCAGCATCGAAACAAACACGACAGGTGGCAGTTTGTTAACTAAGAGCCCAGGAGCCAGTGCCTGCGCGCAGACCTGTTTCATGGAGATGTTTCCATACGTCCGTGTCCCGCCTGCAGCCACCCACCCTCGCCTTTGCTCGGGCACACGGCTTAGGGGAGAGCTTTGCCTACGGGGTGACTCACCCCTTCCTTCCCAATCTGAGCTGCCAGACTGAGATGAGGCCGGAAACGGGAGGTGTGGCCCTCGCTGCCACCCACTGTAGCGAGAGCGGGGACACGCGTGTGCACATGCACCAACACAAACACAGGTAAGCGCGTGGGTACACACAGTCACAAATACCTGCGTAGACCCACGTGCGGAGGCACGCGCAGGCCTAGCTGCTAGACACACGGGCGCGTAGACACAGGCACACTCGGACAGGAAAGCTCCAACCCTGAACTGAGGCGAGCGGGGCCCTCGGGAACGCCGCGGCCGCTCCACCTTAGGGGTGAGCTTGACAGTTGCAAACTGACATGGGGCGAAGCAGCTTCCACGTCCTGAAGGGCAGCCCCGGGGAGAAGAGGGGCCAGACTCCCTTCCGTGCACGCCCACCCAAAGGCACACCCTGGATGGTGGTGGTGGGAAAGCAACAACCCCAAATCGATCAACATCTCGCAAAATAACTAGTCTGTACTCTTCAAAGTTCTGAAAATCAGGAATGACTGGAAGAGGATTCCAGATTAAAGGAGCATCGTGCCGGACGGAGTCTGCAAGGGTCAGAGGGCAGCCGGGCGGTGAGTCCTAGCCTGCGCCGAGTCGGGGTGGGGGGAGGCCTGAACCTGCCCAAGCGGTCTGTGCCCTGAGAAGTGAGGGGCATAGAGCTGAGCCTGCAGGAGCCACGCGCCCCAGGGGCCAGAGCAGGCGCCCACACCGGGAGGGAGCGAGAGTGCCAGGAGTTGCTCCTCCTATGGCTGTTTCCGTTTTCCGGAAACATCATGAAAAGTTACCCCCAGGGCCTCCCCTGGTGGCGCAGCGCTTGAGCGCTGGGCTGCAAGGCTGCCGGCATCCTCTGCAGCACCAGTTCGTTCCCCGGCCCCAGTCAAGAGTCCCACAAAAAAAAAAAAAAAAAGAAAAGAAAAGTTACCCCCAAACCGTCCACCCAACCAACACACACACACACACACACACACACACACACACACACCTCTGCAAGGTTGACCTGCTGGCTCAGGTCTCTGCTGTCCTGGGAGCCTCGCCCTTCCTGACGGTGCCTGTGAACTTGCACCTGACTCGGTTGTGTCCGGACCAGCTCCACCACCGATGGCAGCAGATGCCTCCCCACCCTGGTCATCAGCTCCTCGACCCAGCCAGGACCTCTCTTTTTGCCAATTTTCCGGCAGCATAAGACATCCAAAATACCTGAGTATTTATCTCAACAACTAGTACTTGGGATTTTCTTTTCTTTTTTTTTTTTTCAGATTTATTTACTTATGCATACAAGAACTGGGGTGCAGGCAGAGATGTGGGGGTGAGAGGATTCCCCAGAGACAGAGTGGGAAGCAGAACAGGCAGATGTACTGAAAATACACGCTGAGGCCCACACTTCCCCTTTTAAAGACACAAAGGTCACCACGAGCAGACAGCTGGACCATCCCCCCCAAGAGCACTCCACAGGAAGGGGCTCATCTGCATCAAACGCTAAATCTCAGGCAATGGGGCAAAAGAAGTCTCGTGATGATACAGCTTTGCTCTCTTGCCCCACCGCCTGAGGTGGAGCGTTTGATGCTAACCTTTCTAGCGTTTGATGAACCCCTTCCTGTTGATGGCTCTGCGGGAGGATGGTCCCGAGGTTCTTTGGGAGGATGGGTTGAGGCTAAAGAAGAAATGGTGGGGCCTTCCTGGTGGCCCAAGGGGTTAAGTCTCAGCACTATGAAGCTATCTGCAATCCTCTGTAGCACAAGTTCGATCCCCAGCCAGGGAGATACCCCATGGCACAGCAGACCTCTCCTGTCTCCCTGCTGCTCCCCTCAGCAGTGGATTTCAGTCAGGCTGCCTGTTCTGCTCCCCACTCTGTCTCTGGGGAGTCCTCTCACCCCCCACATCTCTGGCCTGCACCCCAGTTCTTGTGTGCATAAATAAATGAATCTTAAAAAAAAAAAAAAGAGGAAAGGCAAGAACCCTCCCAGGACGATTACCTACGAGGCACGCCTGAAAGACGGGAAGGGGGAGAGCCGAAGCGCGGGCGGAGCAGTGAGCAGACGGGACATTACATCCAGCTCACGGAGCACGTGGAAACAAGCAGCGCGCCTGTGGCACTTTGCCCCTCTGGGTGGAAAGGAACCCCTGGTTCTCCTGCCCGGGTAGTCGAGGTGACCTGACAGACGAGCAGGAGAAAGGAGCGCACTGAATCACGTGGGTATGTTGGGGAACCCACCCAGATGGGGGTCCCCTGGGGGCTGGGGGTCACGCTTGCCTTTGTGTTGTTTTGAAGCAATGAGTTTTGTGGGTGTTTGAGCCCACATTCTAGTGCCCCCAGCACCCAGGCACCCTTTCTGCCTTAATAACCAACCAGGGTTTACCAGGGCGGAGACAGGCCTGCCTTGGCGTCCCAGCCCCTGCAGGTGGGTGCGGCGGGGTCTGGCTGAAGGGTGCAGCTGGCCGGGGACTGCAGGGACAGGCCGGGAGCGGCACAGGGAGCTGGCTTGGCTGGAGGGAGGGCTTTGGGCCACTGTGCCTGCAGGCGGAGGAGACGTGCCGGGTGGGCACTCACTGGCCCTGCTCAGGACACAGCTGCCTTCTCGGAGCCCGCTGTGGTGTTCCACACAGTCCCGTGGCCCACGGCAGCACTGACGTGGAGAAGACGTACCTGTTCAAGGTTTTCATTTCGTGAAAGCCTTACTAGCATTTCCTTTCCCCTCTTTTATTTAGGACTGACTTGGTTTTGCAAAAAGAGCAAAAGTCTGGTATAAACTGAAATACAAATCTCAGTGATCGTTAAAGAATTTATTAGAAAATCAAAGTGAGGTTTTGGGAAGCAGCCCCCCTCTCCCTGCATGCAAAGGAGACCACAGCTCTCCAGACGACAGCCCAGCAAGGGCCCCTAAGCCACACGGAGCAGGCCAGGGACCGGCCAGGGACAGGCAGGTCTGGAGCTGGAGACTGGGGAGATTCCTAGGGTGCTGGGCCTCCCCAGCACGTCCTGTGTTAAGCTGAGTGTATCCTTCTTTTCATGGCACCCCAAGAAAAACTGGCTGGTTTTTCTTTAGCAAGCCAAACAAAGCCAGGCATTCAATAAATGTGTGCTGAGTGAGGGAATAAATCAATGCCTGGCTCAAGTGAAAAAGCCTTTCAATCGATAATTTAAAAGCAAAAAAAAAGGCTGCATTGGGCCTCAGCGTCTGCAGGCTCGGAGCAGCTGTCCCGGCAGCTGCAGCTTCCTTAAGAGTGGGATTAAATGCCTTGTCACATCCTGTGTGGGGACAGAGAAAAGAGGTTTTGCAGGAAGTAGACTCAGTTTGGATCCAGTTGAACAGGTATAGATCATCTTATCCTGCGCTTTTCTCTAGATCCAGACAAAAGAAAACCACTTCTTTCTCCTGTTAGAAGATGTTGAGGCCACCCAGCCTGTGTTTGGGAGGAGTCCCTCTCTCGCCTAGTTCAGCTTTTATAACCCCAGGCAGACACTAACCCATTTGAAAAGGTTATGAAATTTTATCAGTGCTCTCGTCCAGAAGTGAACTTCCACAGCTCTGCCTGTAACTTCAAAGCACTCAAGCCCGCAGTTTATTCCAGAACTGCCCCCCTCCCTTAGGAACCAGATCTGCTCTCAGGTCTGGAGCTTGGACCAGTTGCCGTCATTTCTCAAGCCACTTCTCAGGGAAGTTTCTGTTGCTCGCACTGTGGTTTTCATCCTTGAGCCTGTTCTAGTGTAAGATAGTGCAGTTGGAGCACTTCCCCAAGTCCCAGCTGCTTCAGTGACCATTAATAGATGCTGGTGTGATTACCCCGTTAGAGTGACAAGTCGAAATTAATTTCCGCAAACAAATGAAACTATTGCTCATTTTTCCAAATGAGGCAGAGCACAGGGCATTGCAGAAGCAACAGAATCCCTGACCCTGGGCCTTGACAGTTTTATTCAAAATTTTTGGGGGGAGATGACAAAATATTCCTGACACCAAACATGTGTCATAGAGCAAAATGCACGCTGTCCTAAGTCATATTTTTGTTTTTTTTAAAGATTTACTTATTGTTGCATACAAGAACTGGCATGCAGGCCAGAGGTGCGGGGTGTGTGTGTGTGTGTGTGTGTGTGCGCGCGCATGTGAGAGGACTCACCAGAGACAGAGTGGGGAGCAGAACAGGTGGATCCATTGAAACACACTGCTGAGGGGAGCAGAGGGCAAGACAGGAGAGGTCTGCAGCGCCATGTGGGTAGCTCCCTGGCCGGGGATCGAACTCGTGCTGCAGAAGCTGCGGACAGCTTCATAGTGCTGAGATTTAACCCCTTGTGCCACCGGGGAGGCCCCTAAGCCATATTTTTAAAGATAAAATAGGAGACTTGACAGAAGTGTCCTGCTAATGCACCCTTCATCTCACCCCAGGACACTCCTGCCACCAAAGTGCAAGCAGCTAAGCAATAAATAGAAGATAAAAAGCAACACCACGTGTGACTCTTGTCAACATATTAATGAAAAGTGGGCAGAAGAGAAGGAATTACTACAGAGCAGTGACAGCAGGAGGATCGTGGCCACAGGCCTTGTCAGTGCAGGGTCTCCGGCTGCTCACCCCGGTGTACAGGCAGCAGGCCCCTCTGGGTCTCAGGGGCCCCCAAGTCCCAGGACGCCCGTTTCCACCGGCCCCACCGCACCCCGCGTCCACTGGGGCGGGCTGCGCGGTTCCCCAAGGAACCCCTGGGCCCTACGGGTCAGCACCACGTGCGACGGGGAGGGGGGCGGGAGGGGGACTGTGCCACCTGCACGTCCCCGCAGCGCGCGCAGTGGCCCTACAGGTTATTGAGCCTGCACTTGCAAGGCGGGGGTGACAGTGAGGGTAGATCCCCACTGCGCCCTCCCGGAGGACCTCCGGGAGCTCCCCCGGGCCCGCGCCCCGGGCCCGCGCCCCGGGCCCGCGCCCCGGGCCCGCGCCCCGGGCCCGCGCCCCGGGCCCGCGCCCCGGCCCGCGCCCCGGGCCCGCGCCCCGGGCCCGCGCCCCGGGCCCGCGCCCCGGGCCCGCGCCCCGGGCCCGCGCACGCCCACACCGGAAGTCGTCATTCGTCCCCGCCCCGGCCGGAAGCCGGGCCCCTGCCTGACGTCACAGCAACGAGGCCCTCAGGGAGGGCCCGTCCCGGCCTAGCCCGCGGACCCGCCTGGCTCGCGGCTTCCTAGGACGCGCCGGCGCGCCCCCCACTTTTTCTCCGTCCGGCATGGCGTCCGGTGTGGCGTCCGTCTCTCTCTCGGGAATCCCGCGTGGCTCTCGCGCGCTGCATCTCGTCCGCGGCTGCAGGCGCCTGGGCAGCCGCCCTGCTCCGTGACGCAGAAGTCGCGCGCCCGCGGCAGGACCCGCCGCCCCGTGTCACTAGCGCGCCGCCCGAGCGTCACCCCGCGCGCCGCCGCAGAGTCGCGCGCCCGAACGTCCCGCACCGCCGCGGAGTGCGGCGCCCCGGCGGGATGGAGCTGCTGGCCGGGTGCTACGAGCAGGTCCTTTTCGGCTTCTCTGTGCGCGCGGAGCCGGCGGCGGACGGCGGCCCTGCGGTGAGAGCCGCGCGTAGGGCCGGGGGACGGCGGTGTGGCGCTCCCTTGGCCCCTCGGTGACCAGGCCCGGAGACCCCGGTGGGCCCGGCGCCTTCGGCCTACGCGCCCGCGAGGCGGCCCGGGCTCGCTCCGGGAGTCGGAGTCAGTTTCGGGGTTCAGCATTTAGCGCGGAAACAGCTCTCTCTTGATTTCTCTCCGGGAATTTGCAAACAGGCAGAGCTGGGTCAGGCTAGTTGCTCGCTGGTAAAGGAAATGGCTCCATTCGGGGTGACGGGGTCCTCACGTGGGCCACTAGCAGTGGGGGTGCAAGAGAGGACGGGTCTGGATCCCGGGCCGGAGAAATGGGGGTGACTGAGTCACACGTGCGTGCAGAGAACTTAGAGCAGACAGGGCCTCCCCTGGTGGCGCAGCGGTTGAGCGCTGGGCTGCGAGGCTGCCCGCAGCCTCTGCAGCGCCGGTTCGTTCCCCGGCCTCTTGCGAGGGTCCCACAAAAAACAAACAAACAAACAAAAAACAGCAGACAGTTCCACGTGCTGCATGAGATGCCTGGGTTAGAAATTGCCAGTAGTCACACGACTAGGAATCAGAGCTAGCTCTTCACTGGGGACTGTTTCTTCTGAGCAGTGGTAGGTACCTTCTAGGCAGCAGTGTCATCGAGCACTTCTGTAGGAAGAAGTCAAGCCGCCAGCCTTGAAATTGATGGACTGATGTGCCTAAACGCTTTTGTTTCCTCATCTGTCATTGGCTGAAAGGTGATGGAGGTTGTGAATATACAAAGGTGACATTACCCATCGTGTCTGTTTGTAATGACGCTGCTAGAGCTGTTCCAGACACGCGGTAGTTCCCACAGCAACCCGCTGTGGCAGGTACCTTTAGTCACATTTTACAAAGGAGAAACCAGAAGTTGAAATAAGAAAGTGACCTAATGTTGGCAGACCTGGGTCCTCAGGCCACCGTGTCTGACGCTTGAAGCTCTTACCCGTGCTGGTGATGGCACTTCCTGCTGCCCAGTACCGCTTCTCAGCCCAGATTAACCTGCTTCTCCTGTGCACAGCAGCGGTTATTCTTTGATTTCTGGTCACAGCAGCCCCACAGGGTTGGCTCACTCAGAGGAGAGCCCCTTGGTGCCTAGCGGTAGAAGGACTACTGCTGTCCTTATTTAGGAGTTAACTTGCAATAACACGTCTTTGTGTTCACAGAAGTTTGGTGGGCTTTTTCTTCCCTGATGGTGGTGGTGGAGGTCCTTGTTTCTGCTAATACTACTTGCCGTCTCTCGTTCAGTTTTGCTCTGTGTTTGTATTTAGCTGACATTCTCTGCATTTATCGAGTCCAGAAGCCCCACGTCGGTAAGCGAGCTTTCCAGAGCCCTCTTGTTGGTCAGTCGCAGTGGAACTAGTAGGAACATACTCTTTGCCTGTTTATGTTTCCTTTCCACACCTGTGGTCAGACGTGTCTCGCAGAGGCACCTGTTAGTTTGCTGTCCGGCTCTCCCGCAGGAATGGCAGCTCCTCAGAGTGGGCACTGCTGACTGTTGTCGCCTGTGTTTACTCCCGTGTTCAGCAAGCTCACCACAGGACTCAGTGTTTGAGTGAATGGGTTCAGATACGAACGTGTGGGAGTCGCGCATGGCGACGGTGTTTGGGATGAAGGTCAGGGCGGGACTGGGCAGTCCCGAAGGCCCACGGGGTTGGCATTGCCATCCTGTCGTCTCCTTCTTTGCCTTCTGGTGCAGGCCTCACTTGTAGGAGCCACGGGTAGTTTTCGTGGGTGGGACCCTCCTGTCTGCTGTGGCAGTGACTGTCTTACTCTCACGCTTTAGCAGAAGTGGACGGCGGCGGCTGACTTCACTCACCACGCCCATACTGCCTCCCTGTCGGCGGTGGCTGTCAACAGTCGTTTCGTCGTCACCGGAAGCAAAGATGAGACGATTCACATTTATGACATGCGGAAGAAGGTGGACCATGGGGCGCTTGTGCATCACAATGGTAAGAAGCTTCTCTTAAGTGGAGGCCCAACTGTGCTGCCTGACCACAGGTCAGGGTGACAGAGCAGGCTGGCACTGGCACACACACACATGCAGGACAGGGGTCTTGTCCTGGTGGCGCTTTGTGCTCTGTATGGGCCTCAGGCAGGAGGCACAAACTCGGCCTGGAGGGAGTTGGGGGAGGCCCTTTCTCACGGGCAGCTTCCTGTCTTGGAAGAGAAGCGTCAGTTGTCCGCCAGGTGGCCAGGCGAGCAGGGGACAGACATCCCGGCACAGCAGTGTGAGGTGCACAGGGAACAGTGCCCGTCAAGAATGAACTTTTCAGGGGCACCAGGGAGCAACAGTATGCCAGGAAGGTGCAGTTGTGCCCTCAGTACATAGGCAAGAAAGCATTGGGTTGGAGCTGTTACCCAGGGGCACAACCCCTGGTACTGGCACTCAACCCTGGTTGCAGCCTGCGTTGGTCCACTGTGCCGGTCTTAGGAGAGGTTAAAGTAAGGGGGGGGGCAGCTGAGAAACAGATGGGGGCACATCCTGCTGGTGCGGGAGAGGCGGGGGCGGGGCCTCATCAGGAGGCAGGGGCTGGTGCGGCTTGAGCAAGTGCTGGCTTGCCAATCGAGAGGGGCCGAGTATAGACACACACGGGCCATGGAGAGCCTGCCGGATGGAAGGGGAGACTGGGGATTAAGGGACAGCAGTTTGCAGCGAGCTGCGGACCTTTCTAGAGAGGAGGGAGTGGGCGTGGTGTGTGCTGTAGAGGGAGGGCTCACGGGGTTGAGGATGGTAATGGGAGAGTCAGTGGTGGGCCTGCTAGAAACAGGGTGGGGGGGGGCCCAGATCCCCGTAAGCATGGAAGCAGGAGTGTGCGCTGGGAGACTCGCTGCTGGGGTTGGGGGGCAGCCTCAGTTCAGGGGAGCAGCTCCGGGGTTACAGTGAGGCCCTCGAGTCCAGAGAGACAGGGTCCCCAGAGTGGGTCTGCAGCCCTGCTGCTGTCGGATCGCGGCAGGGCCAAGGGAGAAAGTGGTCGTTTATTTCCTCGGTGTTGACTGTCAGGTGCTGTGTCTCCGTTTTCTTGGGGGACCAAGAATGCGGAGCTTGGCGTGTCTGGGGAGCAGGCGAGGAGGAGCTCAGGGCAGCGCAGCTGTGCAGTCTGTGTCCTGCAGCGGCAGCCGCAAAGGACAGGGGCCCCCGGTGCTCCAGGGGCCCTGCGCTGCCCTCTGGCTTCCGCCAGGGCCCTGGAGTGGCGGCTCTTTCAGCACATGGCCTGAGCCACCTCGAGCGGGGTGTTCTGTCCCCAGAAGCAAAGCTATCCCTGATTTCAACTTGCATCCTCTCCTCTCTTTCTCCTGATCCCTGTTCATCCCAGCAAGACACCCCTCAGCCCCCCACCTCAGGGCTGGGCCGCCCCCGTGTTGGCTGTTGCACTCGGTGAGGGACGGGCTGCCTAGAGGGGTGTGTGGGGGGCGGAATGTGGGGGCCCCAAATTCCTCCCCTGGACAGGCGCTAGCGTTTGGTGGTGAAGCCCTCACAGGGGCAGGAGGCAGGGGGAGCGGCTCCACCCTGAGAGCTGGGCTGGGGGAGGGGCGAGAGGGGAGGCTTGGGCAGGGGTCCTCGCTTCCAGGGAGGGGGCGAACCACGTGTCACTCGAGCTGTTTTGGCTGCAGTTATCATCAGAGGTCCCTGGCTCTTCAGTAATGTGCAGAGTCGGGGTCCCCAGGGTGGGGGTGTGCAGGGCCAGATGAAGGGGGCTCACTCTGACCCGGAAAAGCAGGATGGCCAATGCTCAGGTTTCTGCTTGGGCAGAGCAGCCAACACCTCCCGGCACTGTGATGTCACGGGCGCAGCACAAAGGTGAAGGGACTAGGTCAGACCCAACACCGGGCGCGCTTCTCCGGAGGTGCGTGCAGCTCGAGATTGGGCCCCTCGGTTCCGCAGAGACAGCGGTAGTGACTGTGGAGCAGGCCCCGGCTCGGAAGTCGAGTTCGCTCTCCATGTAAATCTTGCCTGTCTTGGTTTCTCCCCAGGCACAATAACTTGCCTGAAGTTCCACGGCAACAGGCACCTGATCAGCGGGGCGGAAGACGGGCTCATCTGCGTGTGGGACGCCAAGAAGTGGGAGTGCCTGAAGTCCATCCGCGCGCACAGGTGGGTGCAGCCCCTGCCCGGGGGGCTCCAGCTCCAGGCTGGGGTGCTCACTCCAGGTTTCCTTTCAGGGGCCACGTGACCCACCTTTCTGTTCACCCGTCTGGCAAGTTGGCGCTGTCCGTGGGTACAGATAAGACACTGAGGTAAGTCGTCAACGCCTGGGGCGTCTCACCAGTCCTGGTGTTTGCTCTGCGAAGACAAGAGCCGGCCAGCGGGCGGTGCTGCCCTGTGACCAGGCGCTGTTTCTGTGCTGCTGCAGGCTGGCAGCCGTCGGAGCATTTCCCTGTGAGGGGCAGGCGAGGGTGGTCCTCTTGGTGACCCTGGGGACAGGCAGACTCTTGAGCGGTGCGCCTTCCATGCCAGCCGTTGTGTCACTGGGGGCTGACGTGACCGGCTTTAGGAGGGGAGCGTGCTCGGAAATGTAAACAGATGCCCGGGAGAGGCGGGAGCCGGGGCCGAGCGGCGCAGCTCTTGCCGAGGGGGAGTGCTTCGGGCTGGGTGGCCGGCCTTCGTCGGGTCCCGTGAGCACAGCCCCGTCCTGCCCTCCGCCCTGAGGGAGCCTCCTGTCTTGTAGGACTTGGAATCTTGTGGAGGGAAGATCGGCCTTCATAAAAAACATAAGGCAAAGTGAGTACCGGTGCGTGGGGCTCTCCACGGAGACCCAGTGGGCTCGGGTGTCCAGACCGTGTTCTTGGCCCACAGGGTCGGAGTCCTGTCGTGGCTCCCCACAGCCAGCATGTGGCCCTCTGGTCATTGGAAGCTGGTTTGTGGTTAGGTCAGCTTGGAAAACCCGTGTGGGAAGTTTGCTGAGAAGGTCCACTGGAGGAATGGGCTAGACGCGCGCTGTGTAAACGTCTGCTGTTTGCTCTTCCTCGGTGTTTGTCGTATGTGTGAAATGTGACACGCGTGTGTTCGGCTCTCAGATGCTCACATTGTGGAGTGGTCCCCCAGAGGGGAGAAGTACGTGGTGGTCACACTGAACCAGATAGACGTCTACCAGCTGGGCACGGCGTCCATCAGTGGCACCATCACGAGTAAGCGGAGGGTGTCCGCCGTCTGCTTTCTCTCCGTGAGTGCCGGGAGCGGGGGTGGGGGGGGCTGGGGGGGACTGGGGTGACCTTTGGGTGCTCGTCTCTCTCCCAGGAGTCTGTCCTCGCGGTGGCCGGCGACGAGGAGGTGGTTAGGCTTTTTGACTGCGATTCGCACACGTGCCTCTGTGAGTTTAAGGCCCACGAAAACAGGTATTCTCACCGGTCTCCGTGTGTACGTGTGTGTGGCGGGTCAGTAAACGTCAAACGCGCCCTTGGTTCAGGAGGCAGAGACACGCCTCCGCACGTCTGGCGCCGGAGGCAGGGAAACACCTGGTTTTGGGGATGAGAGGTGACACGGTGGTGTCATGGGGCTGGCCGCTTGCCCGGGGTCCTTTCTCTGGTGGTCTCGGCGGGCGTGAGGTCAGCCCTGCGTGGACAGCCGCACAGCCACGGTCGGGAGCTCCGGCCCCGCCCCTCCCCCCGCTGTCCTACAGGAGAGGAGACATGTGCGACGCGTCTGCCGCCTCGTCCTGCCCCTTAGCCTGCTAGTGCCAGGCTCGGGCGCGCCAGCAGCCCCGGGAGGCGGCAAGGCCCAGGCGGGAGGCGAGCTGGGGCCCAGCCCCGCCGTCTGAAGCGTGCGTGCACTAGGGCACCATGTGCGGTCACCTGCTCGTCCTGCTTCTCCAGCACTGCATGGCTCTTCCCATACCCGAGGGCCGCGGCAGCGTCCAACCCCGCCAAGAGCCCCTGTTGGGCAGTCGGGACGACCACGCCCATGCTCAGCCCTCAGGCGGCCCTCTGGTTCCTGGTCCCACGCCCTGGTGGGGGGCGGCCCCAGGGACTCCCATGTAGCAGGATGTGTATGCAGGGCGACAGGGAAGGGTGTGAAGAGAGGAGAGGCCCGCGGCCGGAGGGAGGAGAGAGCTGAGCGTGTTTGGGAGGACGTAGGCCCGTGTGGCAGTGTCAGAGGGGCCGCCTAGGTCACAGGGACGCGTCCAGAGAGTGCTGAGAGGCGGGTGGACGGCCTGGTGTTTGTTTCTTATGGGAAAAGGCAAAGGCGGACAGACCGGGTGCGGGACCAGCCCCCTGGCCCCGGCACCAGCTTCTGCAGCCCCGTCCAGGGCCGTGTCGCTGTGCCTGCACCCGCAGCCGCCGCCTCCCTGGGGTGGTCCCGCGTCTTCAGGCTCCCGCCGGTAGTGCCATGCTTGGGTGCACAGCTGGGAAACCAGTGCAGACAGACACGGGGCAGAGAGGCCAGCGGGCTCCTCCGTGCCCGGAGGACGGGCCTGGACCCGGAGCCGAGCACGGTGCCGCCCTGCCCACCACTGCCCATCGCGCTTTGCTGAGCGGGAGCTCCGTCACCTTCCCGGCTCTGAGCCACACTGCAGTGCGCCTTGTCTTGGACCGCAGGCCCCAACGCCGGCGTGCCGGCTGCTGGAGTGGGCGCCGCTGGGGCGGGGTCACGCGGGGCGCGAGGGTCCCCGTCAGGCAGCCCCCGCATGTGTGAGCCTCGAAGGGCCCCCGCGAGCAGCTTTGCGGCGGTGCCGGGCGCCGGGGGAGGGCCCCTCAGCGCGTTGCTGTCTCTGCCTAGGGTGAAAGACATGTGCAGTTTTGAGACTCCAGAGCACCGAGTTATTGTCACAGCCTCCAGCGACGGCTTCATCAAAATGTGGACGCTTAATCAGGACGAGGTGGGTTCTGCACACACGGTCACGCTGAGGCAGGCCTGGCTGTGGGCATAAGGCCCAGCTCCCCTCCAGGCAGGTCCGTAGTGGTGGTTTTAGAGTTGGGCTCCACAGAGCTGCCGGGGGCGCTGGGGCCAGAGCTGGTGGGGCCCAGAGTCCCGCACGAAGCACTGAATTCCTCTCTGCTGTTCTCGGCAAGATTTTCTTAGTAACAATAGCGCAGTTGCTAAAATGGAAAAAATTCCCGATTGATTATGAAAATAACATAGCTCTAGGGCCTCCCTGGTGGCGCAGTGGGTTACGCACGGCACTGTGAAGCTGTCCGCAGCCTCGGCAGCACGAGTTCCATCCCCGGCCAGGGAGCTACCCACAGGGCGCAGCAGACCCCTCCTGTCTCCCCGGTGCTCCTCTCAGCAGTGCATTTCAGTAGACCTGCCTGTTCTGCTCCCCACTCTGTCTCTGGTGGATCCTCTCACCTGCCACACCCCTGGCCTGCACCCCAGTTCTTGTGTGCATAAATAAATAAATCTTTTTAAAAAAAAAAAAAGAATCTACCTTTGAACTAAAGTCTTGGGAAATTGAATTCCTGGCACAGTCGCGTAGGCCCGTGATTCTTTACCCAGGCTCACTCACGCAGCTGAGCGCGCCCAGTGGGGCTGGCTCCTGTGGCCTGGCAGAATAGACCGCCTCCCCCGCCCCAAGTCCAGGGCATCCTCAGAGCCGTCCCAAATCAAGACCCTGGTTTTCTTCTGAGTGGCATATTCATACTCAGGAGGATGCAGCGGCCTGCACCCCAGTTCTTGTGTGCACAGATAATTAAATTTAATTAAGGTAACTTGGTTCTCACCATCAATTTGTCTTTCTTCTGTTGTAGAAAGTCCCCCCGGTGTTACTGTGTGAAGTGAGCACCAGCGCCAGGCTGACGTGTCTCGGGGTGTGGCTGGAGAGCTCTGATGGCCCCAGGGAGGCCCTTCCTCCTGAGGCCGAGCTTCCCCCTGGTAAGTGCGGCGGGCGGTGAGGGAGGGAACCACCTCCGTGGTCGGGCGGACAGCACCGGGAGCCCGCCCTTCCTTGCCAGGCTGCGCACCCCAAGGGGAGGAGTGGACTTTGAGTTCCTGTCCCTTGTGTTTTAGTAAATAAGGAAAAACAATCCGGAATCAGCAAAAAGGTGGCTGGGAATGCAGTGCAGGAAGAAGAAAGGCCGCCGGAGCCGGAGAGGCGGAGACCTGCCCCCCGAGGGGCCCGGGCTGAGGCCTCTCGCAGGGACAGCCTGGCGCCGGCTGGGAAGAGGAAGGCGGCGGGTTTACAGAAGAAGAAGAAGAAGAAGAAGAAGGTGGTGGTGTGATCGTGCGGCGGCTCCCGGGCTCCTCCTGAGCGCCGGAAGCGTGTTTGCAGATGGCTTCAGGTTTTTCTTTCGGAGTAGAAGCTCGGAATTGCTTCTTCTGGAGACGAGGTGCCACTTAGAAAAAATGGCGAAATCACTTTTAGGTGGTTTTTTTTTTTTTAAAAAAGTGGTAAAAGTTTTCAGTAGGCGGCGTTTTTTGAATTACGGCATATGGTGATGTGTGGAATGTTAATGTATAATACAAAGTTTATTGTGCAAAGCGAATAAAGGCTTTTCTTAAAATGCTGCTGTTTAAAACAATATAAAATCTCGAGCACATTGTTGACCAGATGTGGGGGGAGCTGTTTTTGTAATTTTTCTCCTAAATGGCAGAAAAAAGGGCATCACTTTGCCTTTGGGTGATTCTAATAATATTACTAGTTGCTAATAATTTCAGTGCAGGTTTTGTTTATTTGGTAACAAAAAGTATGAAAAGATTTTCACAACAGTCGTGTATCAGACATAAACTCGTATGTAAAGACAGGTGAAGTCTGTTGCGTGCAGGGCCTCGTCCGTGAGGTCTGAGTCCCCAGCTTGATGCCGCGAATGGTCTCTGTGTCAGGCCATCCGAGAAGTCCGCCCGCCGGCTGCTAAGGGTGGCCTTGAGTCCAGTCCGGGCAGTGAAGTCCCCCTGACTGGGGCAGTAAACATTCCCCTCGGTAGATGGCTGCAGGTTTGCAGAGACGGTTCACACGGGTCCCCGCGTGAATTTGCGGAGGATGTTACATGCCTGAGGTGCAGGGGAGTTCCGCCTGGTGAGCAGTCAGGCATCTACCTGGACACAGCGACGTGCACCAAAGTGCCAGTTCAGCTCACCTCACCTAGGACCAGGGGACAGATGACTGTGAGTTTGTTTTTAAGAGTGGTTTTAGGTTTAATGACAAAATCAGGGGGAAGGCCGGGGTTTCCCAAATGCCACTGCCCCCCAAATGCGCGTAACCCCCAGGAGAAGCAACCCTTCTCAAAATGGTACCTTGTTGAAGCCAAGGAGGAGCCTTCACGGCCTCATCACCCAAACCCCTAGTTTCCCTCCAGGTGCTCTGGTGTTGCCCCTGCTGCTTCATAGACCTTTCTACTGATTCCAAGTGGTTCTCACTTGCTTTTGCTGTTACTTCCCAGGCAGACAATCACATCAGCTAAAGTGTCTCAGGCCGTAGCAGTGACAGCACTGAGACAACCCCTAGGCCACCAGGGAGGCCCAGAATCCTTTGTGTATCTTGGATAACTGTTCTTTACCAGAGTTTATTTTGCCAAGTACTTTCACAGTCTGGCTTCTCATTCTCTTCTTGTCTTTGCAGAGGTTTTAATTTTATTTTTTTTTTTAAAGATTTATTTTTTTTTAAAGATTTATTTATTTATACAAGCACTGGGTACAGTCAGAAGCGCAGGAGGGTGAGAGAATTCACCAGAGACAAAGCAGGGAACAGAACAGGCAGACTGGCTAAGTACACTGCTGAGGGGAGCAGCGGGCATGGCAGGAGAGGTCTACGCGCTATGTGGACTCTCACTGGCGGCCGGGGATGGAACCGGCGCTGCAGAGGCTGCGGGTAGCTTCGCAGCCCAGTGCTCAACTGCTGTGCCACCAGGGGAGGCCCAGAGTTTTTAATTTTAATGAAGCCCATCTTGGCAGTCCTGGCAGGCGCTGCTGTGTCCGGAACCTGCTGGGTCTTCTGAGTTGCTGTCAGGACATACAGCTCCACATGACATGTCCGTCTGGTGGTTTCTGAGTATGTTTCGTGACAGGGGTCAGGGCTGTGTGTGTGTGGCCGCAGGTCCATCACCCCATCTCCTAAGTGGGAACATCCTGCAAAACTATGGGGAAAAGGCATCCCCCGTGGCGCAGCGCTGTCCACAGCCTCTGCAGCACAGATTCGATTCCCAGCCAGCCAGGGTGAGACCCACATGGCACGGCAAACCTGTCCTGCCTTGCCTGCTGCTCCCCTCAGCAGTGTCTTCGGTCCTTCTGCCTGTTCTATTCCCCACTCTCTCTGGTGAATTCTCTTGCCCTCCCGCGCCTCTGATCTGTACCCCAGTGCTTGTATAAAAACAATGGAGGTGTGCCGATAGCGTTCTCGCAAGCATGGTGAACATTCCTAAAACCCGCTGGACCTTCTGTAAGAAGTGTGGCAAGCATCAGCCCCACAAAGTGACACAGCACAAGAAGGGCAAGGATTCTCTCTATGCCCAGGGAAAGTGGCGGCATGACAGGAAGCAGAGTGGCTATGGTGGACAGACTAAGCCAATTTTCCGGAAAAAGGCTAAAACTACAAAGAAGATTGTGCTGAGACTTGAATGTGTTGAGCCCAACTGCAGATCTAAGAGAATGTTGGCTATTAAGAGATGCAAGCATTTTGAACTGGGAGGAGATAAGAGAAAGGGCCAGGTGATCCAGTTCTAAGCTTCATCTTTTATTACAAATAAAATCTTGAGAATTACATTTACCTCAAAAAAAAAAAACAAAAAAAAACCAATGGGGAAATCCCAGACACCCTAATACCCTAATAGTGTCGCGAGGAGTGCAGTGAGCCAGTCATTCCCAGAGCCCGCTGTGGGTCGGCTCACTAAAATCACTCGGGGAAGCTTCTATTTTTTGTGTCCAGCGTCTGGGAAACACAAATGACAGCTGTCAAACTCTGGGAAACGCAAACTCTGACAGTTGCCGTCAGCTGTCAGAGACTGGGCAGGAGCATCTCACCAGAAGGATAAATTGGCCGCTCTAATCCTGTCACTCAGGTTATACAGGGTGGTCTAAAAAATGTGTGACCCGAGGGCCTCCTGGTGGTGCAAGGGGTTAAGCACAGCACTATGACGCTATCTGCAGCTACTGCAGCACAAGTTCAATACCGGGCCAGGGAGCTACCCACAGGGCTCAGCAGATCTCTCGGGTCTCCCCGCTGCTCCCCTCAGCAGTGTGTTTCAGTGGATCCACCTGTTCTGCTCCCCACTCTGTCTCTGGTGAGTCCTGTCCCCCCCATCTCTGGCCTGTACCCCAGTTCTTGTATGCATAAATAGATGAATCTTTTTTAAAAAAGGTGTGACCTGAAGTTTTCAAAACAGCCTTTGCTTTGGCCTCCATCACGCAGCGTGGGTGCTCGGGGATCATTCCCGGGACCAGAATCTCCGTCTCTGACATGAAGGTGAAGCTCAGGGCAGAGCTTCCCTTTGCAGAGAAGACCCAGGAGGGGGACTCAGTGACTTGGGATCAGTCGTGACTCCAGCGCCAACTGCTGCACCACCCTGAGCCCTTTATCCGCTCCCACCTCAGGACTTGACACGTACGCACTCTGTGCAGTTCTGTCTGGCTGGTGGCCAGCCGCCTGGGCAGCACATCAGCACATCCATCTGGACTGCCCTTACCCTGGTATCTCTGGCTTGGCAGGTTATCAGCTCAGCTAATGGGGTGGGGAGTGAGGCAGCGTCTCTCCATGCATGGCTGCTGCCCCTTAGCCCGCGCCATGGAAAGGTGCGCCCGGAAAGGCAGGCGCTGGATGTTCAGTGTGAGCGATCACTTGGCTCTGGGCTCACATGGAGTCAACAAAAGCCTTGGCGTGTCGCTTATTCATTTGCCAGTCCCTGACCCTTAACACTCGACGAGTTTAAAGGTCAGAGATTTGGGGTTTTGTTTTATTTAGAAACAGCTCTTCTGAGTGGTGGGTCGATGGCCTTGAAATTCCAAGCTCGGTGCCGACTGTGCCACGGACGCGGGCGTCGGTGCTGAGAGCCTGGGCCCGAACTCCGCCCTTCCCTTGGCCTGTGCCCGCTTCCCCGCTCGAGGAGGGCCGTGGGGTGTCGAGAGGATCAGGGGCTCGTGCACCTCCAGACCGGCGCCGGCAGAGCGCGCGCTCAGAGGGGGCGACACTCCCTGGTCACGTGGGCGTCACCGACCAGCTCCCCAAGAGCGGGGCGTCCCAAGAAAGCGGAGGAAGAGAAATCAAGATCGGCTCGCCCGACGGCGTTTGGCGTGATCGCCGAGGGCGAGCCTGGCTGGGAGAGGCCTCGGGGCGCCATGTGCGGGCCTGTCAGCCCTGTGAACGGGACCTCGCGGGCCGGAGCCCGCAGGACCCGAGGGCTCCGCAGCCGGACCCGCGGGACAGGCCAGTGCGGCCCCGCCCCCGAGCGCCCCGCCCCCGCGACGTCCCCATGACGCCCCGCCCCCGCAACGCTCCACCCCGTGACGCTCTGCCCCCCGCGACGCCCCGCCCCCGCGACGCTCCACCCCATGACGCTCTGCCCCCCGCGAAGCCCCGCCCCCTCGACGCTCCACCCCCATGACGCTCTGCCCCCTGCGACGCCCCGCCCCGGGACGCGACGCCCCCATGTCGCTCTGTCCCCCGTGACGCCCCGCCCCGCGACGCGACGCCCCCTCAACGCCCCGCCCCTAAGTTGAGCCGGGTGGGAGCGACGCCCCGCCCCCGCGGCGCTGCGTCCTCTGGAGGAGCCGGGAGCGAGCCCCGCCCCCCGAGTCGCTCCGCCCCCGAGACGCTGCGCCCAGAGTGACGCGCCGGGCGCCGGTCAAGCCCCGAGACGCCCCGCCCTCCTGCGGAGCCGGGTGCGGGCCCCGCCCCCAGCCGCCCCGCCCCCGAGAAGCCCCGCCCCAAGTCACGCGCCGGGCCTGGCTCAAAGCCCCGCCCCGGCAGGTGCGTCACTTCCGGCGGGACGCGGCGGCGCGCGGCGACGGTGCTCGGTAGGGGCTTCCCTGGAGACCGGGGGTCCGCGTCGCGGCGGGGCTGCGGGGCGGGCCGCGCCCCCCGTCGGAGCTGAGCGCGCCCCGGCCGCGGGCGTTGTCCGGCCGCCTCGGCCCTCGGCGCGGCGGGTGGGGGACCCGGGCTTCGGCGCGGGGCGGGGGGTTCCCCGGGCCTCGCCGCGGGGGCGTGGGGCGCCCTGGCGCGCTGACAGCCTCTCCCCGCAGGTGCAGCTGGGCGACCCGCGTGCGAGGACACGATGCACGACTCCGGCTCCATGTGAGTGCGCGGGGCCTGGCGCCCGGGTGGGCTCCCCGCCGGCCGCGTCCACTGCTGGGCCCGCCCCGGGTCCGCCCCCTGCCCAGCGGCCGCGCGCCGGCTGGCGCTGACCTCTCTCTGGTTCTCAGGGTGCCCCTGCACTGGATCGGCTTCGGCTATGCGGCCCTGGTTGCGACCGGCGGGATCATTGGCTACGCGAAAGCAGGTGTGGTTTGTGGGGCTCTGCCCTGTCCGCGAGGACCTGGCCTGCTCGGGTCTGCGGGCCCCCGCACTAGCTTCTGTTATCTGGCCAGGCGGTGGCTTCTTATCCAGCCTTTGACCCAGAGGCGCTGGGCAGGGTGGGTTATGTTATCATCTGCTGCCACACACCACCTCTGGGCTTTGGGGGGAGGAACTGGTCTTCACAGGCGTGGGGTGGCCCCTCCCAGTCTGTGCCCCAGCACAGGACAGCAGACCCCATTTAACTCACCGTCCCTCCTGAGGCTGTTCCTGCGGGCAGTTCTGGCCTTGGTGGGTCAGTTAGGCCTGCGTGGGAGCCCTTCATTCCTCCTCAGGTGGACACACCGTACATTCTACTTTTTTTTGTTTGTTTTAAAGTCTTATTTATTTATGCATATAAAAGCTGGGGTACAGGCGGGGCAGGGATGAGAGGGCTACTCGGAGACAGAGTGGGGATCAGAACAGGTGGATCCACTGAAATACACTGCTGAGGAGAGCAATGGGGAGACAGGAGAGGTCTGCTGGGCCATGTGGGTAGCTCTCTGGCCAGGGATTGAACTCATGCTGTGGATAGCTTCACAGTACTGATGTTTGACCCCTTCGCCACCAGGGATACCCACGCCCTGCATTTTAAAGGCGAGGCGTCCTTGCGGTGTGAGCCGAGTTCTCTAAAATAGCATCTTCTGCTTCCTGCTTGAGAACTCCACGGTGGGGGCCGTGTGGAGGGGAGTCCTACGTTGGTGGGGAGGTGCATCTGGACACTGGCTGGGGTGCTCACCTGCCACCACAGCTCAGGTGTGTGTTTGCTTCCTCCCACAGGTAGTGTCCCATCACTGGCTGCTGGGCTCCTGTTCGGTGGCCTGGCAGGCCTGGGAGCCTACCAGCTGTCTCAGGACCCCAGGAACGTCTGGGTGTTCCTAGGTACGTGGTTCTCCACCTCCCTGCTGCAGGTCCAGAAGGCTCCCCCAGAGGCCCCAGAGTGTGTCCGTAGCAGGCTCTTACTTGGGCCCCTCCACACTTTTGCCCAGGGGTCAGGGTGGGGGGCTGCTGTTTATCTCTCATGGTCAGGTGTGGGAAGGTCCTCAGGTCTCGTAACATAGATTCGCCTGGTGAAGTTAGCATTGAAGTCTTAGGAGGCAGATGTCTCTGCCTCTGGCCACAGGCCCAAGCACTAGGACGGCCTGCATGAGCCAGGGGTCACGTGAGAGGGCAGGCTTCCCTCACGGGAAAGTCCCCTGCCAGCTGTGGTGGTGATGCAGGGTGCAGATGTAGGTCTGGCCTCCAGGCACCTCCTTCTCTGGGCACTAAACCTGATGGCAGACATGGGCTTGTGCCAGGGTTTCCTCCCAGGGCCCTCAGCCTGCCTACTCCACGTGCGCCCGATGTGCTGCTGGGGGTACGCCCCTCCCTCATGGACTCCATGGGCTGCAGCAGGTGTGGTGGGAGAGCAGGCCTGGGGGCAGAGGGTGTGCGGGGAGCAGGGCTACTCTCAGCTGATGGCTGCCTCCAAACTGATGTCCAGGCCCGCTCTCTCCCCCTGCATTCTGCACAGGACCTCACCTCCCACCCACCATCAGCCTCCCTGGTGCTTGGCCCCTGCTGGTCCGTCTCTGATTGTGGCCTGCTTCCCCGGCACTTACCTGTCCCGGTCACGAGTCTCAAGACCCCACATCTTTCCTCTTCAGAGACTGCTCTAAACCATCTGTTCTGCCCTGCTCGTTTCCTTCGCCCTCACACGTCCTCCAGCCCGCCCTCTGTCCCCTTCTGTTCTCTGCTGTCCTCGCCAGAGGCTCTTCCCGACGCTGCCTCACCTGTCCCTGCGCCCACATGCCTTGTCTGGTCCCAGAGGTTGTGGGCAGTGAAGGGAGCGGGGTCTGCCCTGAAGGGTGCCAGGACTTTGGTTGCTTATTTTGATCGACTAGAAGGTGCAATGATCTGTGATTTCTCCTTCCCACCAGCGACATCGGGAACCTTGGCAGGCATCATGGGGATTCGATTCTACAACTCCGGGAAGTTCATGCCCGCTGGCCTGATTGCTGGAGCCAGGTACCGTCTTCTGTTCCTCTTTACCAGACGCAGTTCAGCTTAGTGCCGGAATATTTGGTCATCCGGAACGTCCCTCATCTCGGTAGACCTGGTGCTGGGCCGTGAGATGACTGAGTCTGCACGGGCAGCAGCGGGCGGTGTCGCCGGGAGGCCTTGGAGGCGGCTGGCCCGGGCCTGCCCCTCAGTGGGAGGACCTCTGCCAGGCCCCGCCGAGGCCCTGAGACTCAAGCTTGGCCTCTTGGCGGCGGCGTGGGACTGGAGTTGACCACAAGGAACTTTTGATCGAAACGTTTTTTCACTTGGATCACAAAACCCAAACGAGATTGTTCTTTCAATGTAGTTTTCCGTGTGACAAAGGACTCGGGGACGGGGCTCTCTTGGTCTGTTTGGTCGAGGTGCAGGCCGGCTGCCGGGGCGCTCTGACACCGCCGGGTGGGCTGAGGTGGGGGCCGCTGGGGGCTGTGTGACCAGGGCCCCTCTGGCCCCGGCCCTCCTGCCGTCGGCTGACGCGCCTGTGTTTCTCCTGTGCAGTTTGCTGATGGCCGCCAAGCTGGGCATGAGTGTGTTGAGCGGACCCCGCCACTCCTAGTCTCCTCCCTGCCCGGACCCGGGAGGAGCTTTCTAACTGCCGCCGCTTTCCGCGAGTTGAATAAGTACGACGTTCTGACCTTTCTGACGCTGTCGGAAAAGATGCCACCGACCTTGGGGGAAGCGCGTCACCCATTCTCCCCCGGCCCGTGCTCCTCCAGCCCGGGGTGGTCATGGCGGCCTGTGCGCGTCCCCCGCCGCGGCGTGAGATCGCAGGCGAAGGCCAGCCTCCGCCCCAGGAGGGCGCCTCTGAGAGACTCGGGGGTCCCTTCACGGATCTCAGAACGCGGCGTCTACCCTGAAGTCACGTCATCTGGGATATCAGTGAAATAAAAGTTTGCAGTAAATAACATCTGTGGCGTCAGGGTCCCCGGAGCGTGGAGGAGGGGCGGCAGCAGCACCCTGTGGCTGGGGCGCCAGGGGTGGGCGACCTACCTAAGAAATGCCCTTTCGAGTACGAGCCAAGGAGTCGTGTGACTGGATACTGCGCCGCGCTTGGTTTAGAGTGGTCTCGGGGTGTCTAAGATGAGGGCCGTGTCACCCCAAACAGTGAATCGGTGAGATGTGCCCCAGAACCCTGGGGGCAGGCAAGCTACTTTGTGGGTACCTCCTGGCTTGCTCACCTGGCCCCGGCGCCCGCGCTTGAGGCAGGGTGTGGAGGGCGTGGACACGCACCTAGAGCCACCCCCTGCCAGGCTTCCCCAGACCCTGGGTCCCAGTTCTGTGGTGGCTGCTTCTGGGGGTACCTGTTGCCCCTCTAGTCCTGGCCTCGGGCTGAGGGACAGGTCTGGAGGCGGGATTCAGCTGGGAGAGGCCTGAGCTGCCCACACCCCTGGGGGCTGGGGGCTTCTCCTGGCTGCCCTCGCCCACCCACCCCCTCCCTTGCGTGCTTAGTATCTCTGTGCCCACTGCGCTGGGTCCGAGGGGGGACAGCCCCGACTCACGTGGCCCCAGGAGATGCGGGCTCTGAGCAGGGGAGGCGTGGCGGAGGGCCCTGGAGGCACAGGGCAGGCAGCCTGGGCCTGCCGTCCCTGGCGGGGTGGAGTGGAGCCTGGAAGGGCGGGGCACCTGCAGTGCCTTGGACAGGACGCCACGGCTGGCCCCCCGCCCTCGCCCTCCAACGGAAGGTGGGCCTGGGCGGCTTCGGGCCCCGCGGGGGCGCTTGGGCTTGGGCCACTCTCCCTCATTCTCGTCGCCGAGCGTCTGGCTCCTCGCCGCACGTGCTTGTGTGGGGAGCCTCGGCCTTGTGTGCAGCGGCCAGGCCGTGCACGGCGGGTCTGCCTGCTTGCCGTTCCCGGCCGCCCAGAGCCACCGCGCCCGCTGAGCACTGTGTTCGGGACTGAGGCCACAGCACCCGTGACGGCGTGCGCCCGAGCCAGAGGCGCGGCTCCTGCTGCCCCGCTCCGCGGCGGCCGAGCTGCTGGCTCACAGCCGGGGCTGTCGGAGCCAGGCGTGCGTGGGTCCTGTGAGGAGCCGCTGGCCCGACCCCTCTGCGCCGGCACCACCCTCAGGACGGAGGCCCGGCCCGGTCCACCCTGGGGCGGGGGTGGGGGCAGCTGTGGGGAGAGGTGGGGCCCAGCAAGCAGCTCGTCCCCCCCAGGCTGGGGCTCTGATCCTGGAAGAGGAGGCCGGGACTGCAGCCTCAGGTCGGGAGCGCCCCCCCCGGCCGGCTGGAGCCAGGCGCCCAGAAGCTGGGGTTCGCGTACACACCGCCGAGACCGCGTCTTGTTTTGAGCTTCTGGGCCGCAGCGTGTTGATGTCCCTTCCGACCCGGGAAGGCCCCTGCGGGGGCGTCGCTGTCCCCGCGCCAGTGTCGCCGCGGCCCTGCTCCGGCTGCAGCTTCCTGGACGAGGCAGGCAGGACGGGGTGTTCCGACTTTTGGAGAAGCGGTTCTCGGCTCTGGGCTGCAGGACAGGCCTTGTTTGCTGAGCATAGTTCGCCAGCCTCTGGCTTAGGCTCAAGTGTTGCCTAATGTCCTGGGTGTTTGCTTCTCAGTAAGCGTTTTCCACCTCTTAACTGACTGAGTCCGTTTTTCTGTGAATGGTCATTTCCTGGCTTGTCCACATGTTTGGGTTTTGATTTTCTCTTTTTTTCTGACTGTGCAGTTAAAGTTTGTTTTTTGTTACCTATTTTGAAAACCTTTTTCTCTGACTTACTGTCTTCGGATACGGCCTTACTTCCTCATGCTGAAATTAAAACTGCGGGGCCTCCCTGGTGGCGCAAGGGGATAAGCACCACACTATTGGGCAACCCGCAGCCTCTGCAGCAGGAGTTCAATCCCTGGCTGGCCAAGCAGCTACCCACATGGCGAGGCAGACCTCTCCTGACTCGCCCGCTGCTCCCCTCAGCAGTGGATTTCAGTCAGTCTGCCTGTTCTGCTCCCCACTCTGTCTCTGGTGAGTCCTCTCACCCCCTGCATCTCTCGCCTATACCCCAGTTCTTGTATGCATAAATAAATAAATCTTAAAAAAAAAAAAAGAAATTAAAATTGTGTTTGGAACCAACTCAACTCAGCCCATTTTCTCTCTGGCTTTGATTCTGGTCTGTCTCAAATGCACTCCCTAAGGCAGGGCTGTGACACAAGATTCTCTTTTTCCAATACTTCTGCTGTTTTATTTCTTAGATTTCTATTTTTAGTGCCTTTTTTTTTTAAGTACTTATTTATGTATGCATATAAGAACCAGGGTGCAGGCTAGAGGTGTGGAGGGGGAGAGGAGTCACCAGAGACAGAGTGGGGAGCAGAACAGGCAGATCCACTGAAATCCACTGCTGAGGGGAGCAGCGGGGAGACAGGAGAGGTCTGCCGCGCCCTGTGGGTAGCTCCCTGGCTGGGGACGGAACTTGTGCTACAGTGGCTGCCCACAGTTTCATAGTGCAGAGACTTAACCCCTGCGCCACCAGGAAGGCCCTTTAGTGCCTTTAGAATTGGTGTTAATGTGATGGTACATATTGATACCGGAATTGTCAGGCCTAGTCTCCCAGCCAGGAATGGATCCCAGGCTGAAGGGGCAGCGCTGAGCCCTGGCCACTAGACCCCCACGGGCTGGTGTCTCACGAAGCCGCAGCAGGAACTTCGCAGACGCTCAGGCAAGTGAGCGAGAAGAAGCCGGTTTGTTTAGAGAAAGAAAAAGTTTATTGAGAAAAAGAACAGAAATAAAGCGGGACTCCCAGGCCAGGAAACCAGGCCAGGGAGGGGCAAGGAAGCCCAAGTGGAGTCGTGTCTCAGGGAACATAGACCTTCTTCCACGCATTATCCTAAAGCCCACCCGTCTCTCTGTGATGGGTTAGTTCTGGCTGTCTCACCTAATCTGCTACTGAGCGGGGGATCTTCACATTCCTTATCTAACAGGTCTGTCTCTCCCCATTTGGTGCACCTTCCCCCTTGTTAGATGGCTTTCTCTTTATGGCCCCGTCTCCCGGATGAGCGCCCCTGCATTTTAAGGAAGAGAAAGTTAAACATCAGCTATTGAAGAAAAACAGGCTGGCACCCACAGGTCTCAGTGCTGACCCTTCTCATCTCCCCCTGGCATAATTTCCCTGCACATGACATGAGTCTGCTGCCCTCCTCATTTGTCAGCAAATTAAACCACTCTCCTTTTCCCAAACCCCGCCTCCCTTTATTGGCTGAGGGAAACTGAGGCTGGCGTTTGGTTACAATGTTGACCTTAGTCCTGGGCTGTTTATTATTCCCAGGGGAATTAGTTACCGTCCTCTTGTTGCCCTTATCTCTGAAGCCTTCCTTAATTCTCTGAGGTCCCCGCCTGCGCTGTCCTTGAAGCTGCCTAATTCTCCCTAACTTGCCCTTGGATTCAAGATTAGGCTTCTGACTGAATTCCTTTTTCCAGAAAACAGCCTTGACCCTTTCACTGCTCTGGAAGGCTGCGCTGGCCAGGAGTCCCCTACACCCCCTACACCCCCTACACCCCCACAACCTGCTCTGGGTTCCCGGGAGCCGCCTCTGCACACTCAGGGACTGACGTGCTGAGGGCAGGGGTGTCACTGTCACTTCCTGTCACAGTTATCAGTTCTTTGGCGGAGTTACTTTTCTAGATCAATCTAGAGCCAGCCCTTTAAAGTTTGTCTGAGATTTTGGTGGATTGAATTGTAGGTCCGTTTGTTCCAGGGCAGGGAGCAGGGCACCCCAGGCCCCGCAAACCTGCCTGCTCTAAATGGGTTTTGCCATCCGCCGCGTCAACACAAAACACATGAGACTTTAATGGGAAGGAACTTTCATACAATCAGGAAACAACACAGGAAAGACAAAGAATCTAGTTTCTAAATCAAGCACCCAAAGTGACCCGTCCCCTCGTGGGCAAAAGTCCACCCAAGCGGGACTGGCCCAGAGCAAGGCCCCAAAGCCTGCCACAGTCTAAAGCACCTTCCAGTGGGGACCCACAGAAAAGGAGCAGAAACCACCAGACAAGTCTGGGCGGAAAAGAGCAAAATCAAAATCAAGATAAAAACCGCCATGGTCACCTCCCCACGGGTCTCACCCACATCTGTGTCACCCCGTCCACGACCAAAAGACAAGCGCAGTTTCTTCACGTGTCTCTTGGCTCCATGCGCCTCCTCCAGGTCTCCTTCTGGCTCCATCCTGCTTCCTTCCTTCCTCCGTCTCCTCTGCAGCTGCTTCTCTCCCTGCTCAGCTCCACCCTCTCTTGGGTGGGGCAGGGAACCTGGAACCTCCCTCTTCCCTGAGGAACCCCCCCCCCTTACATGTTTGCTAGACATTGACAAGTCTAGGACACTGTATGTCCCTTCACCTGACTGTTTTTTTGATGTCTTAAAACAGTATTTTAGGGCTTTACGTATCTAGCGTGGGTATTTTTGTGAACTTACTGCAGGGTGTCGTATCGTTTCATGTCTCTTTTTTTTTTTTTTTAATAGAGGCATGTTTTATTTATTTATTTTATTTGTTTGTTTGTTTTGTTTATACATGCACTGGGTCCAGTCAGAAGCGCGGGAGGGTGAGAGAATTCACCAGAGCCAGAGCGGGGAGCAGAGCCGGCAGAAGGACCGAAGGACACTGCTGAGGGGAGCAGCGGGCGGCAGGAGAGGTCTGCGCCCCATGTGGGACCCTCCTCCGGTGGCCGGGGAGCAGCCGGGGATCGAACCGGGGCCGCACAGGCTGCGGGCAGCTTCGCAACCCAGCGCTCAACCGCTGCGCCACCAGGGAGGCCCCGTTTCATGTCTCTTATGACAGGGGACTTTTCTACTTTATTTCTGATTAGTTATCAGTGGGAACAAGAGAATCTCTCCATGAGGGCGTGCCCCGGTGGGTGGGTCCCGGCGTTTCCTGCCTCATGTGTGATCAGCTGCTCTGGGCACCTGGCTTCAGGCAACGTTAGCCAGGACAGATGCTGCTGCTTCACTCGGGAACCCCCAGGCAGAGCGCTCAGAGGAGAGTGGGGGCGTGGGACTCTGGGGAGGGTGGCGAGAGACACGGCTGACCAGATTGTCTGCCTGGGAAGGAAAAGGAAAAGCAACCGAGAGAGCCGCTTGCAATCTAGAAAGTTCTGTGAAGCAGCAGGGGCAAGACCCGTGCCGGAGCCCAGTGGCTTTTACCAGCAGCCACGCTCAGCGAGGTTTCTGCACCCCTGGGCCCCGGGACCGCCGCCAGATGGCATGAGACACCCACGAGCGCTGGGATGTTGCCATTCACTCCAGTCTGTGCCACGAGTGCCCCCTCTCCTGTCCCTGGACCCCGGAACATGCACGCCAGCACCCGAGACCCTGACAGTTTGGGGCATCCTGACTGCGTGTTTGAGTTGCCGTGAGCTCTCCTCCTGGCTGGTCGGGGGCTGCAGGTTTAGGGGGACCAGCTCGGCGCCTCGTGGCCGCGTGGTGTGAGGCACAGGGCGGGTGGAGTGGGGGGGGATGTCGCTCCCTGCTGAGGACTCTATGGCCCCTCCCTGAGAAGCTGCTCCTCCCCCGGGGGTGCTCTCCGAAAGGGCCTCCCAGGCCTCTGGAGGGCAGCGGGCCTCTTCCTCTCGTGGGGGCCCCTGCCCGCGAGCTCGGGTGTGTTCTCCTGGGGCAGTGGTCTGAGTCTTTCCTGGTCCAAATTGCTGCACTTGGGCCTCGGGAGCTCGTCCCTGGCCGTTGTGTCGTGGGGCTTGTTTGGCTGCTCGTGGTCCCCTTCTGCTGCCCCTGCCCCCCCCCCCGCCCCCCGCCTGCAGCTGCCTGCCCCAGGCTCCTTCCTTGGGGGGGGGGCAGGGATTGAGAGAGAGAGACACACACACACCCTGCGCGCTCGCCCCCCCCCCCCCCCCCCCCCAGGCTGCTGTGAAAATGCAAGCCTGGAAAAGTAGATCATTTAGGGAAATTCTAAGTCACTTGCGTTTTCCAGTCAATTCTCCCATCGACCTAAACCCGGTGATCCAAAAAGTCCCTAAAATAACAAGCAGGAGGCCCCGGACTGTCAGCTCGCGGTTTCAAAGTGTAAACTCTATTTAACCAGCTTTATTTAAATATCTATTCAGTTTAAAAGTTTCCCAGCAACACAAACATTTTTAGGTTTGAGACATTAAAACCGTACAAATATATATAGCCATTCTCACTATTCTGTGGATTTGAACATTTTTCACAAGGCGAGAGGGGTTTCTGCACAAAAACACCGTATCGTGCTCAGTCCCGCGCCTCTGGAGGACAGTCAGGAGGCAGGATCAGCGACGCAGCGTTCTTGCAAGGTGGGCAGACACGTGAAAAGATCAGCAGGTGGGCTCGGGGTGATTCTCCTAGAAGAATCTGCAGTTCCAGGCCCGCGGGGGAGTGCTCGGCGCTGGGCTGGGCCCGGCCTGGCCGTGTGTCTGCTGGGAACGAGGAACGAAGTGTTTCCAAGTCCGATAAGCACGTCTGCTTCTAGAACGGTCTTAATGGTGTGAAACCACCAAGCGGCGGGCTGAGGGTTGTGTGGAGTCACAGCAGTTGCACGGCCGAGAGACGGACAGCGGGCTCGGTCCACTAAACGGGTGGCGTCATTTTAAACTCTGTGTTAAAAAAACTAGGACGATTTCACCCCTGAGGAAGACATCCCGCTCGAGGCTGGCGTCGCGCTGTTTCCTCTCGCAGCAGGGGGACAAGGTCCCTGGTCTGTGCCGGAGCGAGTCGGGGAGCAGCGCCGGGGCGAGCCCGCCAGGGAGCGGGGCTCCCCACGCCGGGGCTCCCCCAGCCTGGGCAAACACACGCAGGCCGGGCGCTCCAGACACACACGTCCGGAGGCTTGGGAGGAAGCGCGCTGTACTCGCTGCCTGCTGGTGCGCGGAGCAAATACTTGGTACTTTGGCAAACAGTTTATTCAACACTGCGGAGCCCGCCCGCGGTCGCACGGTGGCGAGGACGGAGACGCGGCTCACGTCGGGCGCGGAGAGGAACTGGCGGCCTCTTGCCCCTCTCGCTCCCCGGGGTCCTGGGTGTCTCCCGGCCCGGCAGAGGTAGGTGTGGGTGGTGTTTCCTGGGAACGGCGCTGGCGCGGGGCCGGGGGCCTCGCCGGCCGCGCCCACTACCGGTGGCCTCCGTACTTGGCCGCCCAGTCCGTCCGCCCGTGCACGGAGGCCACCGGCTGCGCGCGGCCCACGATGTTCAGGGCGCTGGCCGTGGGGTTGTAAGGGGGTCCTGAGAACTGCCCGCGGCCGGCCCTCGCGTGCCAGGTGTATTCTGGAAGAGAGCAGGGCGCGGCGTCGGCACCTGACCGTCCAGCTCCCGTGGGGCGGCGCACTGCCAGGGCGCTCACACAGAAACCCGGGGTTTTGCTGACACCGGCTGGAGCTCGCGGGAGCGCAGCCGCCGCCGCGTCCCGGGCCCGGTTCTCGGGGGCTGCGGTCTCGCTCCGGGTCCCGGCCCCCACCCAGGGCACGGGCGGGCAGGTCCCACCCAGTGCCTGGGAGCGGCCGTTCCGCCCCGCGGCACCCAGACTCGGCCTTCCGGGGCGACGGTGGGGGCGCCGGGCCTCGGCGGGGCTCCAGGCGCAGGCCGTCTCCGCTGCGGGTGGCTGAGCGTTGGCGAGAATCCGCGCTTGTGGAACGTCTGCCCCCTGGGACGTTCGGGACCCTCGTCCATGTCACGCCCCTTGGCCGGCCCGCCCATGAGGGCGCCCGAGCCCCCCTCTGCGCGGCCAGCGCCGGGCTCTGAGCACGTCTGCCCGGCGGGCACCGGTGCTGCTGCCCAGACCGCCTGCGGGTCCCCGCTCCTAGCCCGCCGCAGGGCCCCGGTTCAGTCCTGTGCCCTCGGCCTGGGGGAGCACGGTGGGGTCCTGCTGCTGCCCCCGGCTCTGCTTGGGCAGGGCAGGTCGCTGTCCCCTTGGCCAGCGGTCGTGCCAGGCCACGCTCCGGAACCCTCAGTCAGGGCGGTGGGGGGAGCAGGCCCGCCGGCAGGCTCCCCGCGGGTGGTGGTGAGGGAGAGGGGCGCGGGAGTGGGGTGGGGCCAACGGAGGCCTCTGTGGTCATGGCGGGCGTTGCGGGGCGGGGGCGGGGGGCAGCCCCAGGCCTGTCCTCTCAAAACCTCGAGGAGGGGGACTCTGCACGGAGGCGGGGCCTGCGGGGAGGCGGCCGGGCGCGGCCTCTGAGGTGGAGCCCTGCGGCCGCCCCAGCAGCCCGGGGCCCCCCTGGGTCGCACCTCACGGCACCCAGCAGGCCGCGCCGCCCCGGGACACAGGGCCCGGAGGTCCTGGGAGGGGAGGCGAGAGCGAGAGGGCCGCGGAGGGAAGTAATGACCTGCTGGGCTCTGGGCCTGGCCACGCGTGAGGCCGCGGCCCGTCTCCCGCTCTCTGCTGCCCTGAGTCACGTGTCCCTGTCCCCGCTCCTCCCGCCGTCGGGGGGCGGATCTGAGAGCAGAGGAGACGAGGCAAGTTACCAGAAGCATTTCCCGAACAGCGACCACAGGAGTCGTGGGGCGCTGCCCGCGGGAGCAGCGGGAGCGGGCGTCTGGGACGGCGTCTGCCCGCTCGCCCTCCGGCCGCAGCCGGCGCGGAGCCACAGTCTGCCGAGCGCCGCTTTCCCGTGGGTGTTTCAGCCCGGCGGAAGCGTCAGCGGGGCCAGGGGGCGCCCGAGGGAGGGGCACAGCCCCGGTCCTGGGGTGGCGAGTCCTGCCGAGGGCCCCCGCCGGGCCCCCAGGGTGCGCCGCGAGGCTCGCCCACGGCGGAGCGGGACGCAGGCACCGGGCGCAGGGACTCCGAGGGCACCGTCAGTCGTGACCCTTCACTGCCCGCTGCCGCTGCCCCGGCCAGTCTCCTGCTCCACCGCGGGGCCCCCTGCGGCCCCCTGGCCCAAGCCGCGCTCCCCTGGTGCCAGGCGGGAGGCCCGGGAATGGGCCCAACTCCCTCGTGGGCACGGCAGGTTCCCTGCGTTTCCACCCGCGAGACCGAGGCAGTGGCTCGAGTCAGTTTGTCTACGGAGGAGAGGCCGGGGGTCCCCGTGTGGGAGGAGAGGCGGGGTCCCTGGCTATGGAGGAGACGTGGGGTGTCCGGGTGTGGGAGGAGAGGCCGGGAATCCCGGTGTGGGGGCGCAGGCCGCGTTCCTGGCCTGCTGGAACCCCCGGCGAGCAGGAGCTTCCTCGGGCACTGAACTCCCAGCCTCCCCTTTGGGGGAAGCCCTGGGGGGCTGGGTGGGCTCAGGGGCTCTTACCGGATGCCGCCGCCCCCAGCGGGGCCAAGTGTATCCTCTGGCCGGCGGACCCCACTTCTTTCTTGAGGAAGGAGGGAACGTACCCCGCCTGGCCGTGAGCAGCGTGCCCGCCGGGGTTTCCTGTGACGGCACAAGGTCTCATGGTCGCAAGGCGAACGCGAGCAGCGGCCGTGGCGCCCCCTGCCCCCCGCCCCCCGCTCTCCACCCCCAGCGCCCAGGCCAGGCCTTGCACCCAGCACCCCGGCAGCACCTGCACCCTCCCCCCCCACCCTGCGCCCCTGGACACCCGCCGCCCCTGCGCCCCCAGCTGCCCCAGCACAGGGTTTGTGACAGCGGGGCGGGTCTCCTGCCCAGAATCGCTGCCCCACAGGGCTCTCTGCTCCCCTTGCCTCGGTCATGCCAGGCCTGACTGAGGGGTGTGCCCAAGCCCTGGGGTTCCATGCCACCCGTCGCACACACACACCCCCCCCCCCCGCGGCCACACAGGATGGACGGGGACAGCAAGGTGGCGGGGGGGGGGGGGGGGGGGAGGCCCCGGGCTGTGTGCTGGCGACTGAGACCCCAGCCGGGAGGGCGTCGGGCTGGGGCGCGGCAGGCTGGGGTGAGGACCGAGTGGGGCGGGTGCTGACGGAGCTGTGGGCCTGAGGCGCCACCGCGGACCAGGGCGGGGGCTCAGGGACCCCCACCCAGACCCCAGCCCCTGCACGGGCGCGAGAAGCACCGGCGCAGAAGAGAGGACAGAGGCGGAGGGAGGACGAGCGGGGCCTGGGCGCAGGGAGGTGGGTGTGGAGAGAGGCGTGGGGGGGCGGCGCAGGGCAGACCCCCGGCCAGGAGGCTCGGGCCCAGGCGCGAGGGGCCCCTTTTTCAGGAGCCCGCCTGGGGGCGTGAGGCCGGCTCCCTGGGCGGCAGCTGGGACACACGTTTGGTTCTGAGTCGGCGCCGCATGGGCCCCCGAGTGTCTGGCAGCGGGGCTCCCCACAGACCCCCCTCCCAGGGGGTGGGCCCTGCCTGGCGCTGCCCAGCTCCCGCCTCCTCAGCCGCCTCTTCCGCGCACCGCCCGGCTCTGTGGTCAGCGGGGGACCCCAGCTCACGGGTGGGCAAGGAGGTGACCCGGCGGGTGTGCGGGAGGGAGCGCCTGACCTTGGCCTGCAGGCCGGGACAGCGCCCCTCAAAGCTTTGTCTGTCCTGGAATGTTTCGGGGTCCAGGGAAAGCAGGAGGTGGGTCAGCTGCCCCGCTGGCCAGCGCCCCACTGATGGCCCAGGGCTGACCAGCGTGACCCACTCCCAGCGGGGCCCCTCTGAGCACAGCAGCAGAGGCCCCGCCCTCCGCTCTGGGGGACAGAGGGAGACCCCATGCGAAACCTGCAGCCGAAGCCGCCCCCCGCCCTGCCCCCACGGGTACCTGCGCTGCTCCTCTTGAAGGCGAGCTCCGCCCCCAGCGGCCCCAGCGGCTTCGGGAAGAAGGGGCTGTTCCAGGCGTGGGGGTGCGCGCCCTTCCCCCCAGCCACCAGGGACACGTTCTTGGGGTTCACGCCTTGAAGAACAAGAAGCCGCGTCAGGAGCAGGTCTGGGCCTGCTGGACGGACAGGGCCGGCGCGCGGGGGCGCCGGGGCCGCGTGAACGGGGGTCCTGTCCACAGGCCTCATCGCCAGGGCCGGGTGTCGCTCGTCCGGTGTCTCGTAAACATGGGGGCGTTTCCTCCGGGGCCATGGGTCCCCGCGCCTCACCTGGCTTGGGGCCTGCCTCGGAGGCCTGGCCCACAGCCGGCCTCTGACCCAGAGCCCCAAATCCGTTGGCGCCTTCTGCCCAGAAGGGACACGGTCCCGCCGACCGAGCAGGCCCCCTGCGTCCCAGCGGCCTCAGGCGAAGCCAGTGTGGCCCCCACCACGGGAGCGCCCCGCACAGCAGCGTCCCGCCACGCTCGCACCCCGCTTCTGAGGCAGCGCCGCGACAGCTCGGAGGCCACAGCCGGCTCGCTCCCCGCCTGCCAGGACGGCCCCTCCAGGGCCCCTGACCCCCCACCCGCAGCCCCTCTTGGCAGCCAGAGCCTCCAGAGCCTGGCTGTGCCCTTTGCCTTCTTGCTGCCCACGGTCACCAGGCAGGCCTCTGCCCCCCCACAGCTGCCCCCCAGCAGACAGTCTCAGGGAGCTGGAAACCGCCTTCTCCTGCTGCCCGCCCCCCGGCTGCCTCCCCCCACCTCCAGCCCTCCTGCCCTGCTGGCTCGGGCCAGGGCCTCCCGGGCGCTCGGAGGGAAGAGCCCGGCCCCATCCCACCACGGCCCCCGCAGCCCGCGGTCCCCCACACCCTCTCCGGCCCCCACCCTCGTTCCCGGGGCAATGGCGGCGCTACGAGCCGTCCCCCCGCGCAGGGCCGCTCTCCCCAGGGCTGACCGCTGCCCTCCTGGCCTCCGAGCACAGCTCTGTGCGCGGCCCTGCCCCTGCCCGGCTTCGCCCGCCGGCCTCCTAGCGCCCCGGCCAGCAGGGGCGTCCGTGTGCCCGGCCCGGCTTCCGGGGGCCTCCTGGGCGGCACTGCCAACTCCCAGGGCTCACCCTGCGGCCTCGCCCCTGCCGGTCCCTCCTCCGGCCCCTTCACTCCCAGCGCTTCCTCGGCTTCCTTTCCTCTCCCCTCGGTCCCTGCACCGGGAGGGTCCCCCCTGGGCCCCAAAGCGGGTCTGCGTGGTCCCCAGAAAGCCCCGTCTCTGGCTCGGGATCCGGCCTCTTCCTCTGCTCGCGCCTTCCTGGCCTCTCCGCCGCGGCCCCCGGAGCTGCCATGCAAGCGGCGGGTCTGCACCCCGGGGCCAGCAGGGGTGTCCCTGCCCACCCCGCCGGGCCCATCCTGTCCCCTGGCCCAGAGCTCCCGGCGGCGCGAGGGCACGGCCCGCCCTGTGGGGCCAGCGGGGGTCCGCGAGTTGGCCGCACCGACCCCTGCGCCGGCGCCGGGCCAGGTGGGCCGGAGAAAAGCGACCACCTGTCCCCGCGCCCTGCCCGGCGGCCGGGAGCCCCGCTCACCTGGGAGGTAGCGCGACTGCCGCAGGTAGTACTGCTTGGCCGCGGAGGCGGCGGGCGGCTCGGGGTCCGGCTTCAGGGGCGCCGAGGCCGAGCTCTTGTTCTCCCCGCCGGGGGGGCCGGCGCCCGGGCTCAGGGCGTCCAGAGGCCTGGGCGGGACCGAAGGCCGGGTCAGAGCCCGCGGAGCCCCAGGAGACCCGCGTCCGCCCGCCTGCTCTGTCCCGCGCCCCGGGGGACCCCTCCCGGCTGTGCTGGGCTCCCCGGCCCGTCCTCGCCAGGGCAGGAAGGCGCGCCCCAGGGTGTTCAGCGGGACGGCAGCTCCGCGGGCGGGCGGGTTGGGGGGGCTGCCGGCGCAGAAGTGACCCAGAAAGCGGAGCCACCGGACACCAGCGTCGGCCCGAGCCGCGGGGGGACGAGGCCCTGGGGGCGGTGCTGCGGGCGCGGGGCGGGGGTCTGGCTCGGGACTGGGGGGCCGGCGCCACGGGGCCTGGCAGCGGGGGGCTGTGGGGCACGGGGCTGTTTGCGCGGGAGGGGCGCGCAGCGGGCGGGCGCCTGCTGGAGGGTCCTACCTGAGCGGGGAGTCCCTCCTCCGGGTCTCCTTGAACGCGGCCGCGCCCGGCCGCCGCCAGTGCGGGGCTCCGAAGTCACCGTCCTCGGGGCCCTCCCAGCTGCCCCCTGAGCGCACCACGGCCTGGCCCCAGCGCCGCCTGGCCCCCTTGAGGCCCAGGGAGCCCGCCGGTTTCTGCGGGGAGGGGGCGTGTCGGCCTCGCTGCCTGGCCCACCCCTGGGGTGCCCCCCTCTGCGCCCCGCGCGCCCGCACCCACTTCCAGTGGCACCCTCGGGAACGGCAGCACCGGCTCACGTCCCAGTGGGACCGGGGGGCCGAGGCCTAGGCCCGGTGGGGCCCCACTCCTCTCTGCCCACTGGGGGCTGCCCCTTTGCTGGTGACCCCGCCCCAGAGCACTCTGCTCTCACGGGTCGCGGGGTGTGGGCCTGGGGCTGGCGGCTCGCGGCCTGCGCCCTTCTCAGCATGAGCTCCAGGCCCTGAGAGACAGGCCCCTGGGTGGGCAGGACGCAGGGCCTGAGGGGCCCAGCTGGGGGCTGTACCCCGGCCCTCCCAGATGCCCGCGGAGCCCGCCCGCCCGGCACTCACGGTGGGCGTGTTCTTGACGATGCTGGGGAACAGCGGCTGCAGCGGCCTCTGTGGACCCTGCTTTCGGGGCGCCTGCGGGCCCTCGGAGAGCTGCGGCGGTTGGATGGGCTGCAGGGGCTGCTGGCTGCGCAGGGTTGGGGGGCCCCCGACGTCCGGCAGGGGCTGAGCTGTGGGGTCCACACAGGGCTTGGCGTCCGGGGGCTGCTTTTTCAAGGCGGGATTGGCTTCCCGGTGAGGCGCCGAAGAACCGAGGACTTGGCCCACTTGGAAATAGGGGTGTTTCAGCGCCTGTGGAAGTGTGGGGGTGACACCTGGACAGCTGCCGCGCCCAAGCCTCCGCCTGTGGCGGCCAGCGGGCCTGGGAGGCTCCAGGCTGGGCACACGGCCCCCAGGCTCTCGGGCACTGGAGAGGCAGCTGGGCAAACTGATTTGGGAGAAGAATTCCAGAGAAAGCAAAGCACGGGTCAGGAGGGAGACGGTCAAGCGCGCGCGATTGTAACACCCAGGCGGCGCAGTGCTGCTTCCTGGAGATTTGGTGGGAAAACACCCCCGGGCTTGTCAGCGTCGGCTCCTTTGATGTGATTGGGCCAGACGAAAGTGCTGGGCGCTGGTGGTGGCTCAGGGTGCATCCGCCAGTGGTAAGCACCGGGTCACGGCACCTCTTCACGGTCGACCTTCCATGGACCTCGTGGCTCGTGGCTTCTCCCAGCCTGGGTGGGACCCCACACCCCCTGGCCATAAAGCACTTGAGGACACTGCGGCTGCTCCTGTTTCTTCTAACCTCGACCAGCGTCCTCTCGCCTTTTAAATGACTTGAGTTCTTTTATTCCTTTAAATAAGATTTTACTGCAGTATCACTGGTTTATATTACTACATTATGGGTGTGCAGTATTATCATTTTACATCTGTATAACCACATCGTGATCCCCGCCAAAACTCGAGTTTCACCCCCACCCGCTGCCCCTCTGTAACCACCAGTCTGCTCTGTTTGTTTGGTTTCTTTATACGTCACCTGCGTGAAGTTTTAGTATTTGTCTCTGATTTAACTTCATTTCATACCCTAAGGCCCATATGTGTTGTCACAAATGGCAAGGTTTCACCTTTTTTATGGCTGAGTAGTAGTCCATTGTGGGTACAGGCCACATCGTCTTAGCCACTCATCAGTGTCGGGCACTTAGGTGATTTGTATAACGTGGCTATTACAAACAGTGCCGCCTTGAACATGCTATCTTTTCATATTTTTCAGATTAAAGACCCAGAGATAGAATAGCTGGACCATGATATTTATAACTTTTTTGAGGAATATCCATACTGTTTTCCATGGTGGCCTCGCCAACACTTGTTTCTTGTCTTTCGGATAATAGCCGCTCTCACAAGTGTGAGGTGGGATCTCACTGTGGTTTTGATTTGCATTTCCGTGGTGATAAATTTTAATCAATAGCTTCTCATGTGCCCATCAGCCATCTGTATGTGTTTTTGGAGACATGTCTGTTCAGTCCTCTGCCTTATTTTTAAGGATGGAGTTTGGTTTTTGTTGTTTACTTTTATGGGTTCCTTGTATATTTTGGGTCTTTTATTTGCAATTTTCTTCTCCCATTCTGTAGGTTTTATTTTCATTTTACTCATGGTTTACTACATAGAAGCTTCTTTAGTTTGATGCAGTTCCACTTGGTTATTTTTGTCTTTGATTTCCTTGTCATTTGAATCAAATCCACAAAGACATTGCTAAGGATGATGTCAAGAAGCTTATAGCCTATGTTTTCTTCTGTGTATTTTTTTAAAGATTTGTTTTTTTAAGATTTATTTATTTTTATACAAGAACTGGGGTACAGGTCAGAGGCGTGGGGGGGCGGTGGTAAGAGGATTTACCAGAGACAGAGTGGGGAGCAGAACAGGCAGAAGGACCAAAAGCACTGCTGAGGGGAGCAGCGGGGAGACAGGAGAGGTCTGCTGCGCCCTGTGGGTCAGCTCCATGGCCAGGGATTGAACTCCTGCTGCAGTGGCTGGCAATAGTTTGATAGCACTGAGATTTTAACCCCTGCACCACCTGGGAGGCCCTCCTTCTATGTATTTTTATGGTTTTATATCTTATTGTGATGTCTTTATTTTCAGTTAATTTTTATGGGTGGTGTAAGGTTGTGATTCAGTTTTATTCTTGTGTATGGGGTTATCCAGTTTTCACCGACAACATTTATTTAAAAGGTTTTCCTTTCTCCATTGTATTTTTCCCCCTTTCATTATCTATAGTTATTTTAGTTTAGTTTATTTTTCCCCTTTTAGTTATCTGTACATGTGTGAGTTTATTTCTGGGCTCTCAAGTCTGTTCCAGCAATCTGCATGCCTGCTTTTATTCCAGTACTATTCTGTTTCAATTATTGTTCCTTTGTTGTATAGTTTGAAGTGGGGGAGCTCCATGCTCCCTTATTCCTTTTTCTTCTCAAGATTTCTCTGGTTATTTTGGTTTCAATTACTTGATTCAGTAACTCTACTGGTGATTAGTCTGTTCACATTTTCTATTCTTCGTGGTCTTGGAATGTTGTACAATTAAAAAAAAAAAAAGATTTATTTATGCATACAAGAACAGGGGTACAGGCCAGAGGTGAAGGCGGTGAGAGGATTCACCAGAGACACAGTGGGGAGCAGAACAGGAAGACTGACTGAAATACACTGCTGAGGGGAGCAGTGGGGAGACAGGAGAGGTCTGTTGCGCCATATGGGTAGCTCCCTGGCCAGGGATCGAACTCATGCTGCAGTGGCTATGGTTAGCTTCATAGGTTGCATCTTGAACCGTTGCGCCACCAAGAATGTTGTACAATTCTAAGAATTCTCTTTCCTTGAGGTTTTTTGACTTTTACTGTTTATATTTTTCTTTCAATCCTTTTGTGTATTTCCTATAAATTTTTGCTTTGGTTGTTGCACATAGATGTAGCATATATAATGTTCTGTTTTGAGTTGATAGTTGATAAGTACTTACATTTGAATACATTCCAAAACTGCATTTTACCCCCATTTCATCTTTTTATCTCATTTTGTATTTTTATATTTTATGCATCCCTTGAGTTTTAATTTTACTCCTTAAAAAAAACCCTTTACATTTGCTTCGTAAGTGATTGACCTACTCACTCACTACCTTACCATACATTTATCTTTTCTAGTGAGTTTTTTTTCTTTCATGTGTTTTCTTGTGGTCAGTCGTACGGTTTCTTTTCAGTCCAGCGTTGCGTTTGTTGCGGTGCTAGCTGAGTGGTGACAAACTCCTGCAGCTTTTGCTTATCTGGGAAACTCTCCATCTGCAGTTCTGAATGGTAACCTTGCTTGGTAGAGAATTCTTGGTTGGAAGCCTTTACCTTTCTGCATTTTGAGTTTGTTGCAACTCTCTCTCGGCCTGCACAGTTTGTGCTGAAAGGTGAGGTTCACTGGTGTGTAACATGTTGCTTTTCTCTTGCTGCTTTTACGATGTGAAAGACAGAGGTCTTTAACATCTGCCATTTTAATTGTAATGTGTCTTTGTGTGGGTTTCTTTGAGTTCCTCTTATTTGGAACTTTCTGGGCTTCCTGTGCCTAGATGTGTATTTCCTTCCACAGATTAGGAACTTTTCCAGCCACTGTTTACTCAAATAATCCTTCTGGCCTCCCTCTCTCTCCCCCTTTAGCTCTCTCCCCCTCCTTGCCCCTCCTGGGACCTTATCACACAACTATTACTCCTTCTCATGTGGTCCTAGAGGTCCATTAAGATATTTTCCGTGGGCCTCCCCGATGGCGCAGCGGTTGAGCGCTGAGTTGTGAAGCTGCCCGCAGCCTCTGCAGCGCCGGTTCAATCCCCGGCCTCCGGGCGAGGGTCCCACATGGCGCGCAGACCTCTCCTGTCTCGCCCACTGCTCCCCTCAGCAGTGTACTTTGTCAGTCTGCCTGCTTTGCTCCCCGCTCTGGCTCTGGTGAATTCTCTCACCCTCCCACACTTCTGCTTGTACCCAGTGTTTGTACAAATAAATAAATAAATCTTTAAAAAAAAAAAAAGATATTTTCCGTGTTTCTGATCTGTCTGGGTAAGTTCTGTTGCTTTGTCTTCCAGCTCACTTAGTCACTCCTCTCCTTCATTCCGTCATTTGTTGCTGAACACTTTTTGTAGTTTTCCATTCTGTTATTACAGTCCTCAACTCTGTAACTTACACTTGGAACTCTCCTGAATTGTTCCGTTTCTCTGACAACATTCTCACTGTGCTCAGCAATCCTTCACAAGTTTGCTGAATGTCTTTTTTTTTTTTTTAAGATTTATCTATTCATGCATACAAGACCTGGGGTATAGGCCAGAGGTGTAGGAGGTGAGAGGACTCACCAGAGACTGAGCGGGGAACAGAACAGGCAGAATGACTGAAATCCACTGCTGAGGGGAACAGCGGGTGAGACAGGAGAGGTCTGCTGCGCCATGTGGGTAGCTCCCAGGCCGCCCAGGGATCGAACTCGCACTGCAGAGGCTGCGGACAACCCCACAGTGCTGCGCTCAACCCCTTGTGCTACCAGGGAGGCCTTGCTGAGTGACTTTAAACCATGACTTTGAGGTCATCGGGTAATTTGCTTATTTCTGTTTCTTTAAGGTCCTTTTCTGGGATTTGGCCTTGTTCTTTCACATGGGTCAAGTTACTGTGTCCCCACTTTCCCCGATTCTCTGTGCTGGTGTCTGTGTACTACCTCTTGCTCAAACCTGGCTTGACTAGTCTCCCCCACTGGTTCTTCCCAATGACCTTTAGGAAGCATTTTCTCAAGTTAAATTTTCAAAAAGCCAAATAATGTTTTGGTAATTTTAAATTTGCATTAAATAATGGTGTAATAGTTAAGATGAGTTTTTAAACTGCAGATAAGACCATGACATTTTAAAGATCAAGGTCCCAAGATACAGCTGCAGGTAGGTGTCGTCAGGGAGCAGCCAAGGAGGCACCTGCTCCTGAGGTGGGAACCTAAGAGCAGCCCTCACCCCGGCCTGCAGAGGGCGCACAGTGAACCCTGCAGAGGGTACACTGTCCAGTGAACCCCGGGAGTGGCAGTGAGGCCTCTCCACTCCTGGGATGGCTTCTTCCAATGTGTCAGACACAGGCCTGCGCTTCAGTCATGAGAGACCGAGCCCCTTCATCCGCACCCCCATAGGTGCTTCCCTTGGGCCAAGAGGACAGGGAATCAGGGGAGCAGCCATCTTAGCGACACACCCAAGGGCCTCGAGGGCCCAAAATGTTAACTCCTGACATGCGTCAGCTGCAGGTCTGGCTTTTCTGGGTGAGACCAGACCCGTGTTTGTCCATGGAAATATCCCTCACATTGTAAGCCCCAAAATGCCTTAAAGGTCTGACGGGAGGGTCGTACCTGGCTGGCGGTCGGCCGCTTCTTTGGGTCCCAGTTCAGCATGTCTGTCATGAGCTGAATGGCCTCGTTGCTGGCATTGGGGATGAGGGTTTTCAGGTTGATGGGCACACACTGGGGGAAGCGGAAGTTCATGGAGGATGCCAGCTGGTGCCCCTCTGGCCAGTCACTCTGTTCGGGGACATAAGGGGACTGCTAGCCGCCAAGTGGTCACCACAGGGATAGTGAAAACACAGGGGCTGTGGAAACAGCACTCGTGAACATTTTAGTGTTGATTTATGTAAAGAAATGTGAGAACAAACACCCCCAGGCCTCAGACCATGTAGAGAGAACACTGGCTGAGAGTTCGGGATGCGAAATGGCACTTTTGTACTTTCCAGAATAGTGAACTCTCGTCCACATTTGATCCTGGCAGTGCTGGTGGTGGTGCTTGGGAGACTGAACAGTAAGGACGAGCCCTTTTAAAGACACAGAAGGTGGTAAAGGTTCTGCCAACGTGTTATACTGGGTGTCAGGTGTTCAGAGCTGCACATGACCGAGGCTGCACACAGCCGAGGAAGGACCCAGTGGCTGCGCCTGCCCGTCTGCATGACAGGCACATTGTGCTTCAATTCACACTGCATCTCGGAAGCAAGGGACAGCTGGATGAAGCAGTTCAAGACATCAAATATCCGTGGCCCGTGACCGAGGGATGCAGAGGGAAAGGAGAAGAGGCTGGGCACACACAAGGCCCAGGATGCAGGCCGGCACCCGGGGGCAGGTGGCAGACCAGCCGGGCCACGGGGAGGTGGCACTTGACCCTCAACCACAGCTGCATAGTCAGAACTGCAGATCCTGACTCTCCCTTAAGTTTCTTAAAGAAAGACCAGCACCTTTCTCCTTCCGTTCGTTAGAGTCTGGCTTTTTACAACCCTCCTACCGCCCCCATAAACAAGTCAGGAGGATGAGAGGATGAACGATGAAGCATAAGCCTGCTCGGAAGCACAGCAACGAGGCCAAAGCTATAACTAAGCAAACGCTGTAATAACCCCCGGAGAAGGCCACTTACTTTTTTGGGAGTCCCTAGGACTTGGCAAATCTTGAAGATTTCGTCGACCTCGCTTGTCCCTGGGAACAGAGGTCTTAACGTGTACAGTTCCGCCATTATGCTCCCGACAGCCCACACGTCGATGGGCGAGCTGTAAACCGAGGAGCGGAGTAAAACCTCTGGGGCTCGGTACCTGTGGGACAGGAGACAGAAGTGCAGCTCTGGTGGGTGCCAGGGGAGCCTGGACACAGACAGTGCGATGCTGACCAGGCCAGGTGCAGGCCCCCAGCCGGGCACCAGCACTCAGGCAGCGCAGCCACTGGGGCAGCCTGGCTGCCAGTTTCCGCCACCTGCTGCCTGTGGGTTTGAAGAAGCTGAGTCCCTCAATGGACAGTATTTTTAATTGAGGAAAATACTCTTTACTGCGCAGAAGCACCCCGCGGAGGGCACTCTCCAGTCTCTCTCTTTTCGGGATTGGAATGTGTAACTATTTCCGTCCAGACTTCCCGCAATATTGTCTTTTTTTAAAAAAAAGATTTATTTATTTATGCATACAAGAGGTGGGGTACAGGCCAGAGGTGTGGGGTGGGTGAAAGGATTCACCAGAGACAGAGTGGGGATCAGAACAGGCAGATCCACTGAAATCCACTGCTGAGGGGAGCAGTGGGCGAGACAAGAGAAGTCTGCAACGCCATGTGGGTTGCTTCCTGAGTGGCCAGGGGCTCGAACTCATGCTGCAGAGGCTGCGGACAGCTTCACAGGTTGCGTCTTAACCCCTTGAGCCACCAGGGAGGTCCCCACAATATTGTCATTTTGCTGCAGGGCTGAGTACCCGCCTGTGGCAGCTGTACGGACCCTGTGCTGGGAGAGTACACGGCGCAGCTCTCAGAGCAGCCCTGGAGACACCCCACTCTCTGCAGGACCCCATGTGTATCACCAGCCAGCTCCTGCATCAACAGCGCCTCGGCCTGGCCCTTCATGAGTCCTCAAGCCCCTGGTGTTGGGGTGCCCGCCGCCTCATTTCTGCTGGGGGTGCGCATTTGGGCTGTCTCTGGTTCTCTGCTGCACGTGGGCACCCAGGGCAGTGCGCAGCCAGGGTCCGTCCCTCTGGGTGCCTTGTGTGGGTGCCGCAAGTGAGCTCCTCCTGCCCCCCACACCCTCACCAGCAGCGCCTGGGGCTCTGATGGCTCCGCATCCCCATCAGCACTTGTCAAGTGTTTTGACAAATGCTTTTAAGACATGAGACACAACTTTACTGCTTTGAATGTTTTGTGAAATTTAGATGCTGAAGACAAGGCCTCAGTTTCATCCCCTTCCAGTGCAGAGTCCAGATTCACCCCTTGGCGGTAGGAATCCCTTCAAGTAATTCTTCCTGCAAGAGACCCTCAAGAACTAATTCCAGCTGACAAAGAAAACGAGCAGGAAGCCCGAGCGCCACCTCCACCTTCCTCCTGGAGGGACCACTGCCGTCTTCCTGCTCTCAAGCTTCATTCCAGTCACACCAATCTTCCAGAAGTCTCAGAGGCCGTGGGTTCTGGCCCTCCATTTTATCAGAAGTTCTGATTCCCAAGGAACATGGAGCGAGACGGCACAGGCACAGAGGACATGTCTGCACACCAGCCACCACACGTGCCCACAGCAGTTGGTGCACAGAGTTCTCGAGTGAGCTCAGGAGCCTGAGAGCGACCAACACAGCCCCGCGTGACCCTGCCCAGTGCGTTTCTGTCTGTGTCTTGACTCGGGGCACACGCTGTGCCGTGGGGCTGCAAGCAGCCGCTTCCTCTGCAGGGCCAGCTTGTTAACAAGTTACCAGCATTTGCAGCAGCCGGAGATTTCATCCCAGTAGAAGGAGCTTCTGGAGATTCACTGGATTCTGTCGATTAACCACCATTAGAATAAGGAGCTGATTGACCTCAGCTGCGTTTGAGGTTGCACGTAACCTGCTCTGGGCCACTCTTGGATTAAAGGAGCAGTACTAATCTAGACATCTCCACCTACTCGGTGAGTTGCAGCCCCACAGGAGCTCTAGGCCTTCTTCACGCCCCAGGCCACTGCCCAGCCTCCCCTCTCCTCTGGCTGTTCTGTCTACTGTCTCCCCAGCTCCCTGTTGCTTTCTCACTGGGGAGGTTCCGCTGCCTGACACATGGATCTCCTTGTGTGTCCAGACAGCACACACTGCAGACCCGATGAGAGACTGTCTGTCACCTGCCTGTGCCTGCCCTGCTCCCGGCCTGTGTGCTTTCTGTTTGGCTTCGTGTGGGGTTCCGACAGCTGCCTGCTTCTGCCTGGTGTGGGCCCTGGCCCCCAACTGGGCACACAGTGGCTGCAGGTCTTCACCTCATTGCTGGAACCACCCCACGGTGGAGCGCCCACAGGTCTGCACTTGGGACAAGCACTGACTGCTGTTATTCTGTTGGGGATGCGTGATAGTTGTAACTGGCTCTCTGTGCCGACTGCCCCTAGGTGGCCAGGCGGAGGCTGTTTGTCCTCTTCAGACACCTGATGTGTGTCCAGCACATAGTAGGTTCTCAAGACATAGCTGGTGAATGGATGAATGAATCCCTTCCTTCTGCCCACCATTAATCAGAATAGCCATGATCCAAGTCTCCTCTGGATCCAAAAAGTGCAAATCCCGTTCTGCACGGTGTTCTGCACCGGACACACCGGACAGGGAGCCTCGGGCAGGCCCCGGAGCCTGCCTGGCCCGCCAGGCCCCGCCCACCCGGGCCCCGCCCCTCCCGGCCCCGCCCCCTCCAGCCCCAGCTAAGGCCACACCCGGTAGGTCCTGCCCCCGCCAGCCCCGGCCCCGCCCCCGCCAGCCCCGGCCCCGCCCCTCCCCGCAGGCCCCGCCCCGGCCCCGCCCCCGCCTGCTCACCAGCGCGTGGACACGTAGTCCGTGTAGGGCGGCTGGGACCGCAGCTCGCGCGCCAGCCCGAAGTCCGCGATCTTGACCAGCTCGGGGCCGGTGCACAGCAGGTTCTCGGGCTTCATGTCCCTGTGGAAGAAGCCTGGCAGCGGGAGGGGGGCGCGTCACGGGCGGCCGCTGGCGCGGGGCAGCCTGGCCACTGGCCGCGCCCCCGCCGGACCCCGCCCCCCCGCCGGACGCCCCCCCCCGCCGGACGCCCCCCCCCGCCGGGACCCCGCCCCCCCACCAGGACCCCGCCCCCCCCCCGCCCTGCACGTTCACCCGTCAGGACACCCGAGCACATCCCAACCTTGCCTAAGGGGGCCCCCCGCCCCTGAGAGAATTGGGGGACAGTAGGGCAAGCTGGGTTATGAGGACGAGCCGAGGCCATGACCAAACTGTTCAACATTCTGCCGTGGAGGGCGCGCCCTGGGCGGTGGAACCCTGTCTTATGCGCAGTCAGAGGCATCGGGGCCTCCCTGGGGGCGCAGGGGTGCAGCCTCTGCGGCCCGAGCCGGATCCCCAGCCGGGGAGCTGCCCACACTGCGCAGCAGACCCCTCCTGTCTCCCCGCTGCTCCCCTCTGCCTTGTACTTCATCAGTCTGCCGGTTCTGTTCCCCACTCTGTCTCTGGCGGATCCTCTCACCCCCCGCACCTCTGGCCTGTACCCTGTTCTTCTATCCATAAATAAACAAATCTTAAAAAAAAAATCAGGCACTGGAAGTGTTCAAATACGAACTGGTGTGGGGGCCCAGGGGGAGCCCACGCGTGACCGTGGCCTGGAGGGGGGACAGCGGGCACCCACCGTGCTTGTGGATGAAGGCCAGTCCTTGGAGGATCTGGTACATGATGTTCCTTATGACCGACTCGGGGAACAGCTTGTTTCTGCGAAGAAATGGAAAAGTAAGTCGTGCCGCACCTTGGTGAACCCGCCAACCCACCCAAACAAACAAGAGGAGCTGGTCTCCTCCCGCGAGCCCCCGGCACCCTGCTGGGGGTGGACACCTGGCTAGAGTGACAGGACATACATTTCAAATAAGAAAGTGAGATTTTCTGTTCGTTTTGATGCGCAGATATCGCTCAAATGCTCTGTAGTTCAATTTTATATTGTTTCAGGAAAGTAGCTTGGGAAACTGACTGTCAGCTGAGTGGGGTGTGAAATCTGCTGTGAGGCCTTCCCAGGGCTGAGGGCGCTCTCCGTCCAACACAAATGTTAGCTCCACCAGTGAGAACCACCCATGTCTTAAAATTTTTCTAATAGCCACATTAAAAAAGCGAATGAAACAGGTGAATGAAATTTGTAGCAGTGTTTTTTGCTTAAGCCAACATACGCGTCGACTCAGTATCACCCAAATATCCTGATGCACAATCAGTATCTCTCGTGACTGGACACATTTTACGCCACGTTTTCAAAAGCTGCCGTGTGATTTATCTTGCGTGTGCAGCACCCCCGTCCTGAACAGGGCACATGTCAAGGGTGTGTCAGCCACGCGCACCAACCTGGGGTCCACATAGAGCCTGAGCAAGACCCCCTTAGGGGAGGCTGTTGGGAAGTTACCAGTGTAAGTCTGTAGACTTTATCATCATTGAGCGTTTCCTAACCTCTACAGTTTAGCATGATTGGACTAACTTAAGGCATTGACTTGAGAGCTGACCCACATGGCGCAGCAGACCTCTCCTGGCTCGCCCGCTGCTCCGCTCAGCAGTGTATTTAAATAAATCTGCCTGTTCTGTTCCCCGCTCTGTCTCTGGGGAATCCTCTCACCCCCGCACCTCTGGCCTGTACCCCAGTTCTTACATGCATACATGAATAAATCTTTAAAAAACAAGAATGTTCTATTCCAAAGGCAGTCCCAGCCTCAGGCCAAGGTGGGTGTGACATGGGAAGCAAGCTTCCGTGCACTGAGGGCTTTAAAATCAGTTTTGATGTTCCAAACGCTGTTCCAGTAAGTGCAGCCACAAAAGCAAAGCGGGTCGGTGGTGTGAGTGGCAGCTTGACCACCGCCCAGTATCCAAGACAAGGTTCCCTCGTTCCGCTCAGCTCAGGAACCACAATTAAATGACACAGTGCAGAAGTCCATTCTCCTCAGTGCTGTGCACCTCCCTCCCACTGTGCCCCCGTGGCTCTGGCCCTCCCCGGCCCTGCTGGCTCCTCTGTGCTCGCTCCTCTGTGCTCAGGAAGCTGTGGGGGGCGTTGCCCCAACTTCCCCAAAGCGCTTTACTGGCGAGCATCAAACTAGATTGCAGATCTGTGTTGTAAAACGGTGGGTTCTGTGTGGGCTGTCACCTTTGCAAAGATAACAGGTCAGCCTCGCCCCCCCTCCACCCCCGAGAATCAGGCGCGTGTGACCGGTGCCGTCCGCAAGGTCAGGGGCTCGGAGGGAGGGAGCCCCTGGCCAGAGGAGGAAGACATACCTGTCTTTCATTAGCTGATAGAGGTTCTCTTTCATATACTCAAATATAAAATAAAGGTGGTCGTTTTCTCGGATAACTTCTTTCAGTTTAATCACATTGGCATGATTAAGTTTCTTCAGAGACTGCAAATAGCAAACACACGTTAAAACCCTTGAAGCGGGGCCCCCTGGTGGCGCAAGGGGTTCAGATACAACCTATGAAGCTGTCCGCAGCCACTGCGGCACAGGTTCAATTCCCGGCCAGAAAGGTGACCCACAAGGGGCAGCAGACCGCCCCTGTCTCCCCGCTGCTCCCCTCAGCAGTGTGTTTCAGTGGATCCGCCTGTTCTGCTCCCCACTCTGTCTCTCCTGAGTCCTCTCACCCCCACACCTCTGGCCTGTACCCCAGCTCTTCTATGCAAAAACAAAACAAAATTCACCCCACTCACGGGTGTACGGTATCAGGGGAGGGGTGTCAGCATTTAGCACCGCCTTCCCCCCATGAGCACAGGCCTGTGGCAGGCGCCCCGCAGGGAGAGGACGACCGATGCAGCTGTCCCCAGAGGAGGGCTCGGCCAGCAGGCCCCGCGCTCCCTTGCACCCCAAGGGCTTTACCTTAACTTCTCTCAAGTTCATACATTCATCCCAAGAGTAGAACTTCCTCTTCATCCTGCAGCAAATGAGGGAAAGTTTAGTGTGCGGGGCCAAGAAGGGAGGGGTCGCGTGGCGGGGGTCGGTCGTGGTCAGACGCCACTTTCAACAGAGGTGGGGGGTCCCCACTGACCCGCGCTTTGGGGGAGTCTGAAAATTCTCTGATTACTCCAGCTGTGCTTTTAAGAGCCCCCCTGCCGCGTCCCGTCTCTTGGACCTAGTGAGGTGGACGCGGACACTGCTCTGGCGGAGGGGAGGCCCCACAGGCTCTGTAGCGAATGACGTGGCCTGGCGGCCTGCACTCGTCCTCGGCCGCGGCAGCAAAGCCTGGTCCCCCAAGATGCTCACTCGGCTTCCTGGACGTTGGTTCTTACTCCCACACGTGGGGTTACAAGGCCGGGTGGTAAAACATAAAACCCAGATCTGCCCTGATGCGCCTGAGGTTTTCTGGCAGGTTCCTGGGAAGCTTCAAGTTGCCTTTAGCGATAAGTGGCCTCCCGAGCGCCTCGGGGGTCGGGCAGGTGTGGACCCATACCGAGACCTTGGCCAGTGAGTCGCCTGTGACCTAGGCCCCAAGCGCCGCTCCAGGCTGGACAGGCCAGGCCGCTGCCCAGCTCAGCCCCAGGCCCTGACCCCTGCCGGGCCCGAGCCGAGTGGCTGTTGCAGACACGGGGCCGTTGCTTCTACATGCCTGTGATCAGAGTCTTGCACGCTCCCTCCCAGCCCTTCGCCGCCCGGGGCTGGCCTCCGGCTCCTCGGGCCTAGGGACCAGCGGCGGTCACCGCACAGGGCCAGCCCCAGGGAACTCCTCGGGACATCACTGTGAACAGTCTGCCCAGCGTGGGCAGGGGCAGGGCCCGCCTGGAGCACTCCCGGCCCAGCAGAGAGCACCTGCAGATCCAGCCTGCTGCGGCCAGTCCTGACGGGGAGCCCCCGAGCCCCGGCCCACACCCCCCAGCTCTTCTTGCCGCTCTGGATGCAGAGGAAGCGGCAGTAACCCTGCCTCGGGGTAGCGCCCGCCGCTCAGCTTGCTTGTTGTTAAGACATGTCTGACTCCGAGGCCCCTTGTTTTAAAGAAACAATCGACTCTGCTCTGCACTCTACACCCCAAACAGGCCAAACGGGACCGGCAATTTCTGTTCAAACCTGAGGCCTACAGAGCAGCACACAGATCTTGATTGACCCATGGGACTGGGCCCCCCAGAAAGTGGCAGCTGCCCGTGAGGACTGCAGAGCCCCCCTGGGCCGTGTCCTGTCCAGAACAGCCCCCACCGGGACCCACAGCCCGGTGCCCCGGCCTCCGCCCGCGGGGCAGTCTCCAGCCGCACAGCGCGGGTGGGGTCCTACCTCTTGATGGCCACCAGCTCCCCAGACTCGTTGCTCCTGCCCATCAGCACGCTCCCGTAGGTGCCGTCACCCAGCTGCCGCATGGTGGTGTAGCGGTTCATCTCTGCGGGGGAGGGGTTGTGGTCCTGCCCAGGGAGCTCGGGCGCTGCTAGAGCTGAACTGGGGTGCCTGACCCCCACTAGGCGGGCGGCAGGTGCGTCATGGTTGGCACAGCTCCTCCTGGGCAGCGATTCATGGGCTGGAGCGGAGAGGGGCCCGGCGTGGAAAGCCCGCCTCCATCCTGGTGGCCTTCCCTGCAGGAGTGAGACAAGGGCAAGGGACTGTCACTGCAGGGCCCCCCAACGGCCAGCCGGGCGCAGGGACGGGGTGGACTGTCATTGCGGGTCTCCCCACATGGCCAGCCGGGCGCGGGGAAGCCGGCACCTGGTGGCCTGGCTCCGTGCTGCGCAGATGCAATGTGCACACCTGGGCTGAGGACCCGGCCTCCTCCGCGCTGCTGGGCTGTTGTCCCCGAAGAACAGCCCGCGCTTCCCACCAAGGAACAGAGTGGACGCTGCCCCCAGCCCCACCTGGAGCGCCCCACCCCTCCTGGCCCCGAAACACCAGGTGCTGCCCCCGGACAGCCGGGCTCACCCTGACACCTGGACACACCTTGAGGCGGCAGCCAGTGACCTGCCAGGAAAGCGAAGTTAAGGGGCCTGCTGGGGGAGAGGCCTTGACTCTGTGTGGATCACGGAAAAAGGGTTTTCATGTCAAACCACTCCTGGTGGGCCTGGGGGGCCGGCTCTGAGGGGCTCACAGCAGCCAGGGACTCCGGCAGTCCTGGAAAGGACCCACCGCTCGAGAAGGGGAGGAGAGCGGCTTTGGGGGGCAACCCCGAGACCATCACAGCTGTGACAGCACAGCAGCTCCCTGCATGGGGGCAGCACAGTGTGTCCCCAAAATCAGGAGGAGGTGGCCTCGTGTAAACAGGCACAAGTGGAAGGTGAAGGTGCCTTAAGAGTCGGCAACCCCAGGTACCCTGTCCTCATGGCACACAGGTGCTGATCTCGGGCCAGGAGCCAGGTCCTCACCCCCCACTCTGGCAGGGCGCACGCACCCAAGGGACGCACCGAGAAGCCAGCTTGCACACCTGCACGGACTCCGCTCACCCGTCCTCAGAGCAGGGATCACCACGTGTCTGCCATGTGTTCCAGGATGCCCGTGCTTGTTTGTGCGTGTGCAGACCCGTGTGTGTGTGTGTGTGTGTGTGTGCGCGCGCAGCGAAGCAAGCAGGTGTCACAGAAAAGGACCTCAGTGTACCACCACGGCTAGGCTTGGGATGTCCTACAGTCAGGAGACGACATTTACGGGCTCCCTGTGGCTCACAAACGCCTGTCAGATTTAAAGAACATGGAGGCCCACTCCGACACCTGCATTAAGTGCCCTTATCATTTCTCCCCGCCTTATTTTTCTTATTTTCATCTAAGCGCACAATGGCTGTGAATGTGAGCTTGATTCTCTAAGCTTCAGCCGGCTAATGAGGGATTTGGGGGGGATTAAAGAAGATTAACACCGAGGGCAAATGGAGGGTAAACCTGCACCTGCTGGTCACAGCAGGTGCCCCTGGAGGCGCCACGTCTTCCTGGACCCCCGGCAGGGGCATCACTCCAAAGTCCACACTGATGTTCATTAAAAAAAAAAAAAAAAAAAAAAAAAAGTGGTGTCTGAAAAATTGCCCCGTTGTTGAAAGGCAAAGCAGGAAGATTCCAGGCCATCCAAGTCGTGCTCACAGAGGTCAAGGGAGGCGCTTTCGCACAGCTAAACAGAGCCCCTGTGTCAGGAGACAACAGCACCGAGCTTTGTGCTGATACCCGCAAGTTACTTTAAAACTCAGCAAAACAATACGCACCCCACAGAGAAGCTAACAGGCTTGCCCAAGGCCAGGGCGCAGGCCAGCATGCCAAGCAGCTCTGGCCTCAGTGTCTTATTTTCCCAACCGAAGTAGATCTGATGAGGCCTCCCTGGGGGCACCGGGGTTAAAGACCACGCTGTCAAGCTATCCCCCAGCCACCTCTGACCCCGGCTGGCCAGGGAGCAGCCCACATGGCGCGCAGACCTCTCCTGTCTCGCCCGCTGCTCCCCTCAGCAGTGTATTTCATCAGTCTGCCTGTTCTGCTCCCCACTCTGTCTCTGGTGAATCCTCTCACCCCCCTGCACCTCTGGCCTGCACCCCAGCTCTTGTATGCATAAATAAATAAATCTTTAAAAATAAATAAATCTTTAAAAAACAAAATAGATCGACAGCTCTGCCTTACCTGTGAGAGTGTCATGTGAGACCAGGTCCCCTAAACTCCCCACATCTGGTTTGCAACCGAGACTAGGAGCCTGGACAGCCCTGGCTCCCCGGCTCCCCTCCCTCCGCAAAGCAGCAGTTTCCCTGCAGCCCCCATCCTGTCCCCCCAGGCAGGGTCGGGTCCGCGGGAGGGGCCTCCGGCCCGCGTGCGCCCCCCAGGGCGGTGGCCCCGCTGCGGTGGGCTGGGTGGGGCCCTGCTGGGCGCGGCCGCCCGCGCGGACCCGCTTTCCTGGGAGCCCCCAGGCCCGCCATCTCGTTCCGCGGACGCCCCAACTCCACTCTGCTCTCCGGGGCGCCCGGCCTGAGCCCCAGTAGTTTCCGCTGCAGCCCTAAGGGGTGGGGACGGTGTTTAGGGAACAGATGGGGCCCCCCCAGATCGACGGATGCCCCGACCCGGCTGCCTCCCTCCCGGGGCCGACGCCGCGGACCCCAGGGCCACCGTCCGCCCCCCGGCCCGGAACCCCCGCCCCGACACCCCGCCCCCCGCGCCCCTACCCGGCCTGGCTCGCGGGGGGCCCGGAGGACGCGGCCGGGACCGGCTGGGCCGAGGAGGGGCGGCCGCGCCCGGGTCACCCGCCGGCGCCGCTCACCTCCCGGCTCCGGGCAGCGCCGCGTCTGTGTGTTGCGTCTCCCGGGCAACCGGGGGCGTGGCCGGGCGCGGCCCCGCCCCCTCGCGCGCTCCGGGGCGGGGCCCGCGAGCACCTGGCGTCTGGGCAGGTGCCCGGCTCGCGCGGCGCCGGGGGTCCTGCCCGCGGCCCTTGTGGGGAGTTGGTCCCGGTGTCGTCTGGGCGCGCCCGGGTCGGCGCGTCTCCCGGGCCGGGCCAGGAGAAGCGCGTCCGCAGGTGCGGCTGTGCGCGCCCCAGGTGGGGAGCCCCGCAGGTGGGGAGCCCGCAGGTGGGGAGCCCGCGGGGACCGCCTCAGGACCGGCCGCTGTGGGGGTGGCGAGTCCGAGGGGCCGCGAGACGCGGGAGCGCGCGGGGAGCTGCGCAAAGCCGGGCGGGGCGCGCCCTGGTGTCACCGCACAAGAGCCGCCGGCCACGGCCTCCCGCGTCAGCAGCCGTCGGAGCTGGACCTCCGCCCCCCGCCGCCCGCTGGGCTCAGCGCTGCTCGGAGCGGCACAGCGGCCCCCGGCCCCCACCTGTCCCCGCGCGGGCGCAGGGCAGAGCAGAGCTGGGCGTGAGGCCCTCCCGCCGGGCCGTGAACCCCAAGCCTCCCCGGCAGCCACTGGCCCCCCAGGACCCCCCCTCCGCGGTGGGCAGAGCGGATTTCGGCAGAGGCCAGAGGCCGAAGAGGGGGCTGCTGTGGTGGATCTGGGGGCGACGCTGCGCCGGCAGCCAGGTGAGAGCCAGGTGGAGGAGGACTCAGGAGCTGGAGATGGGCGGCGCGTCTGGCTCGGGTGGCGGGTGGGCAGTGGTGTCTGGCCCAGCCGGGAACTGTTGCAAGGGGAGCAGATCCGGGGTGCAATGTGGAGGGACGGGCAGCCCAGTCTTGAAAATTTTGAGTTAGAGGAAAACCCAAGAGGAGCGCAGGAGAAGGCAGCGTGGACAGATTCACAGCCTTGGGCAGGGTCAGCGCCGGCCTTGGGGCCCTGGGCTGCTGGAGGGGCTGGGGCTCTGGGGCGCTCCTGTTCTGAGAGCGGGAGGAGAGGGCAGGCACAGGTGATAAGAAAGCGGGGAGAAGCAGGAGGAGGCACTTGGGAATGAGAGGAGGCAGGGCTGAGAAGCAGGAGCAGAGGCGCCAGGCCTGGGGGCCTCCTGGCTTTGACAGCTCCACACAGGACGTGCTGCTGCGGCCACCACGGGGTCCCCAGAGGAGGCACCAGGCACCCAGGGGCCAAGGGAACCCCGAGGCAAATCCAGCTGCTGCTGCCCTGAAGGACAGGCCCTCGACGGGGCACCGGGCTGAGCAGAGAAGAGTGAGCAGGAGCCGGGGCCGCCCAGCAGACCAGCCGTCCGCCCGGAGCCCCAGGAAACACAGTTCCCCGGGTTGAGCCTGCAGATCGGAGCTCGTGCCCGGCCCCGCGGAGCCCCGTCGGCAGAATGGCAGGAGGAGACACTCGGGGATTTCAGGAATCAGAAATGCCAGCTGAGTGTCAAGCTGCTGTGCGTGAGAGGCGTTCTAAAATCACACGGTGGAAAAAAGGGAGCAGGAATGTTAGAAAAACAAGCTATTAAAAATCATTATTGTGGGCCTCCCCTGTGGCACAGCGGTTGAGCGCTGGGTTGCGAAGCTGCCCGCGGCCTCTGCGGAGCCAGTTCAATCCCCAGCTGCTCCCCGGCCACCAGAGGAGGGTCCCACATGGCGCGCAGACCTCTCCTGCCGCCCGCTGCTCCCCTCAGCAGTGTCCTTCGGTCCTTCTGCCTGCTCTGCTCCCCGCTCTGGCTCTGGTGAATTCTCTCACCCTCCCGCGCTTCTGACTGTACCCAGTGCTTGTATAAACCAAACAAACAAACAAACAAACAAATAAATAAATAAATAAGAAATCTTAAAAAAAAAAGATTTGGGAACATAAATATAGACCCATATCTGGAATAATATACTAGAAGAGCGATATCAAAATATATAGTCAGGGCCTCCCCGGTGGCGCAGTGGTTGAGTGCTGGGTTGCGAGGCTGCCCGCAGCCTCTGCAGCGCCAGTTCAATCCCTGGCTGCTCCCTGGCCAGCAGAGGAGGGTCCCGCATGGCGCGCAGACCTCTCCTGCCGCCCGCTGCTCCCCTCAGCAGTGTACTTCGGTCCTTCTGCCTGCTCTGCTCCCCGCTCTGGCTCTGGTGAATTCTCTCACTCTCCCGCGCTTCTGACTGTACCCAGTGCTTGTATAAACAAACAAACAAACAAACAAATAAATAAAACATGCCTCTATTTAAAAAAAAAAATCATTATTGTGAAAGAACGGGCTCAATAGCATATTAGAGCCAGAGGGAGAGAACTGGCACAAAACCTGCAGGAAGTGGCAGGAGACAGGAAGCAAGGGGAGGTGAAGAGGCGAGCTGGCCAGAACACGCAGCCTGGTCGGCGTGGGGTCTCAGAGTGGCCAGCGCAGCACCCCCACCCCACCCCCGGAACCAGGCTCGGGCCCTTCCCTTGACTGCTGCGCCCCCCCCCCCGCCCCCCACTGCGTCTTCTGAGCTCGGTGCCCTTCCCTCCCAGAGCCCGCCTAGGCTCCTTCAAGTGCTTTTCCGGACATCACCCCTGGAGGAAAGCTGGCATCTGAGAGCACAGGCTCCCCCCTACTGTGGGCCTGCGTCCCGCCCTGACCCTCCTAGGTCATCACCAGCTAGGATTTCTCCTCTTTGCCGCCTGCTCGCCCTCCGGCCCGGGAGAGCTCACTCTTCCTAGACCGGGACTCCCTAGACCCGCTGCCTGCTGTTTCCTTAGCAGTCGGGGTGTTGGGCGCACAGTAGGTGCATCTGGCACACAGTAGGTGCTCAGTAAGCGCTTGTGACTGAATGGAGCCGCCCCCAGCTCCGCTCCAGAGCAGTGTGCTGGGCTGGAGGAGTGCAGGGCTGTGTCTGCGCTTTGACTCACCTGAGGTTTTGTACAGTTGCCTCTTGGATTTGTTTTGTGAATTGTCGTGCATTGGGAGCATTCTATTTTCATTTTAGAAATATAATCTCTTCAGTTTTGTAAATATAAGTCCATTGGGAAACGTGGACAATACAGGCAAGTTTTAAAGAAAAATAAGTAGTAACTTCCTGTGTGCTGCTGAGTGTTTTGTGGTAGCTCTTTTGTGTCTTTCTCTCTTTCTTTCTTTCTTTCTTGACTGCAGTCCCTCATTTTTTTGTTTTTAAAGATTTATTTATTTTTATACAAGATTTGAGGTACAGGCCAGCCAGAGGCGCGGGAGGGTGAGAGGACTCCCCAGAGTCAGAGTCAGGAGTAGAACAGGCAGACTGACGGAAACACACTGCTGAGGGGAGCAGCGGGGAGACAGGAGAGGTCTGCTGTGCCCTGTGGGTAGCTCCCTGGCCGGGGATTGGGGATCGAACTCGCTGCAGTGGCCAATGATAGCTTGATAGCGCTGAGACTTAAGCAACAACTCAGAGATAAGTTGAAGCCAGTGTTCCCAGGAGCCCCGACAGCCCAACCAGGGAGATGCAGAATGAACCGTTCCCAGCCCGTCCTGGGCCCAGAACTTTGTTCAGATGTCCCATTCATTGGCATAGAAGATTTTCTGTCACGGTCTGTCTCAGGTACCCCAGAAATGAAGCCAAAGGCCCAGAAATGCATTTACAACCTCCAGGGGGTGGTGCTGGGCCCCCGGGGGGTCCCAGAAGTCAGAGCTCCTTCTTAATAGCTCCCTCCTTGTATCTGAGGGGTTAAAGTGTTTTCTTTGTGTTGTTGATGTCTCTGCTGCTGTGGTGGAGGGGGTGGGGGCTGGGTGCATTTTCCTCCTATTTGCTCCTTCAGGGTGTAGGAATTTTCGTCTGTAGATGATCCTCACCAGTTGGAGGCCTTTCAGTTCACGCACTTCTGGCGTCACGTGCAGGGCCGCTTTGTCTTCGGGTCTGCTTCCTTGGACTCCAGGACATGACCTCTCCCCTGGGTCCGTGCAGCCAGACCCCCCAGGGAGCCCCTCCCAAGGCCGCCTTCTAGGGCTCCGTGCTGCAGCTCCAGCCCCGCACACGCGTGTGCTCACATGCACACAGGTGACGTGTCTCTGTAACGCGCCGGACGCGCGTGTGGGCCTGCACAAACCAGTGCCCCCGCTGGCCCTGTCTCTCTGAGGGCACTGACCCTCAGGCCCCCTGTTGTGGGAGGGGTGCTTTGGGCCTGAAATGATCCAAGTTGCCCCCTGGAGCTAGGCCAGCAGGTGGTCGGAGCCAACTAGAAATCTCAGGAAATGACTTGGTGGGGGTGAGGTTACGAGGGTCTCTGCTTGAAGCTACGTCTGAGGACCCAACAGAGGTCTGTGCAGAAGGAAAAAATCTGCACGATGACCAGGGAGCCCGTGGCCAGGCCCGGGCAGCCCCGTGATACTGGAATTGCAGGTTTTCAGGCCGTCTCCAGGCC